GCAGAGTGGTTATATGTGAGGATAAGCAGAGAAAAATAAACGAGGCTGGGTCTGTGTTATTATTATGATTATCTTGTTGACCCCAGGATCCATATGTATGCGTGAAGAAATAGTCGGTGTGGTGAGTTGGCAGAAGCGTGCATACGACTAGATTCCCAATCTTAGTCTAGAACAAAACAATTGTCTTGCTACGATATGGATAACAAGAGGAAGAAGCAGGACAAAGTGGCCTGTGTGTCACCTTTGCTCGCATTCTTTCTGGTCACGCGCCGTTACAATCACCACACCATGGCGTTGTTCTGCTGGAGCAGCTGGAAATATGCTCTCGTGATTCCCCCGCAAGCGAAAATGTCAAAATCGTGCTTGAATGTCGGTGTGTCCGTGTTATGTGATCTGCTCGGCTGTATCGTAGCTTCCTGTCAACATGCATAACCCACAGAAACTAGGCTGCAAGGGGTTTAGACGCAACTCGACATGGACATGTGAGCGGCTCAGAGCCGTCCGCAGCCCTGGGCGACAGAGGTTGAGCCCCACGGTTATACCTGCCAGCGAGGCTGTACGCGGGCTGCGGGTATTTGCCCGGTTGCGCTTCGGAGCCCATTGGAATAATTGGTTGGTTTTGGAGTTGGTATAGGCGCGCGCAGTATCTTATCCCGGATTGCGCATTTCCCTGGGCGCTGGCCTCCTGCTCTTGTACGTCTTCTTGGGTCTACCCTTAAACACTGTGGCAGCTGGCGAACTTCGGAGGTACCGCGGGGTGCTTTCTTATGGCGATAGCGCTTGTCAAATGTCAACGCCCGGCTGGGCGGCAGCTACCTTGCGAAGCTTTTCTGACAAACTCGGGGCCGCGCCCAGACCCCCACGAAGCTTGCATAGTCAACCAAACTTAACGACGTTTGTGTACGAGTTCGGACAGACGCTCTGACCTCACGACTTCACAGCGACGCGCGTTACGTCCCCTAAACAAACTATGGCTGACATAGTCTCCTTCACTCCGTTTCCACGTGAAACGCCCCGGAGATGCGACCGTACGAACCCCGAGTTTACAGGCAGCGAGAAATAGTACCAGAAAATGCCGAGCCTTTCTCTTTGAAGTTGGCATGGCCGTGTGCGAGAGTGATAATATGGAAATGCTTACGCAAGGGTCTCAGGTGTAATGGTGTCGTAGTTCAAGGCAGCCGCAAAAGAAGTGCCGAGATTTGCTGGGTAAAGCTTCACGGTGCAAGAGTAGATGGAACAGCTTACGAAAAGCTTCGGGCGTAACATCGATGGTCGAGTGCGAGGCAGACAGATGGTGGGTATCTGCTTTGGGGCTGCGTACAAAATGAACTGTATATGAGAATGCTATGTTTCGTTTGAAGATGATGGCTATTCAATTACAGAGAACAAACGGTTTCAAGTGAAGCTGCGACATCAACGACATCATCACCACCAGAGGTACGTGGCAGCCACATTATTCCCGTTAGTTTCAGCCCCAAGATAGCGTGTCCAGGTGTGGCTGGTAGAATCCGAGGTCCTATCGTGTCCTGCCCGGTCTGGCTAGTGCCCTCATGCATGGTACAAGTCCAGACTGCAGCCACAAATCACTCATAGGAGCGATATCTCCATGTCGAGCTTTCCCCGCATTCTTGCAAATCTTTGTCTTTGAAGCTTCGTTTGATCTCGTCCTTGTCATTCTAACCATGGCGCAGCTAGTTGAGTTCAGGCAGTCAGATCTCCTGGTAGAAGTACTGCCGAGGTACACCGACAAGCCTTGCGACGAGAAGATCATGCGGAGATTCCATGATGATGAAGATGAGACTGGGAGTCAGGTGTCCAGCACAATAAACCTTGAGGATCTGGAGGTTCAAAGACAGTCAAATCGAGATCGCGCATCTCAAACTTGGTGGAGCAGGTTTGGTTGTTGCAGACGAAGACGCGAAGAAACAGATGCCGAGAGAAGGGCACGGAGGATACGATGGTATCGCGGGTGTGGTATCAGTGTTGTTGTCCTAACAATCTTTGGTACTATCGCTGCAGGGTAAGAAGACTTTGTCTACACGTGGGAACGGATTGTTCTAACATACTCTAGTGTTTACATAGCCTTTGTGTCCGTACTGTTACGGCGACTCGCTCCTTCTCCTAGGCAGAACGGCCTCCAACATATTGTCGATACCTGGGAAGAACCAAATGCAGGCGTAGCTTTCCAATACGACTGGAGGGATGACTTCAGCCGCGATATCGTACCGAAGAACTGCCACTCCCACAATGACTACTGGCGCGCTGTACCTTTGTATGCGGCGCTGGCAGTAGGATGTACCAGCATCGAAGCAGATATCTGGCTGACCGAGGATGACGAGCTACTAGTCAGTCACTCCTGGGAGTCTACAACCAAGGACCGGACGATAAAGAGCCTATACCTCGACCCGTTGGCAAACATTCTCGAGCAAAGAAATGCAACAGCAGCAGACTCGCAAGACAAGAAGACGGGGATCTTCGACATGGACCCAACCACAACGACAGTCCTACTCATCGACTTCAAATCCGACGGCGCAGCAACATGGCCAGTCCTACTCTCCCAACTCGCTCCACTCCGCGAGAAGAACTGGTTAACCTACTACGACGGTGAGACTCTCCATCAAGGACCCCTCACCATCGTCGGCACGGGAAATACTCCCTTTGACCTCATCCAAGCCGCCGCAACGGACCGCTACATCTTCTTCGATGCACCCCTCCTCTCCGTCTCAAATGATTACAACACTACGAACTCTTACTATGCATCTTCTGCCCTCAGCAGCGCAGTGGGCAAGGTATGGTTTGCGACCATGTCATCAGGACAGATCGAGAGGGTCAAAGAGCAGGTCGAAGCAGCGGATGCAAAGGGCCTGAAGAGTAGGTATTGGGGCACTCCAAGTTGGCCGATTGGCAGACGAGATGAGGCGTGGAAGGTGCTGATGGGTGCCGGTGTTGGGGTGCTAAATGTGGATGACTTGGTTAGTGCGACGATGTGGAATTGGGGGTGGTGTGTTGTTGCCGGTATTGCGCTTTGTGGGAACAGCTAGAATTTATGTTTGTTATTCATGGATAAGGATATATCCAAGGGAATATCTTCTTCAAAACTCCCCAGCCACGCGTCCTCATCGAACTCCAGCGTCAAGCTCTAGTCCCATTCCGAAAAGTAGACGTAGTACGCCTACGTATACAGAATGAGTCTCGAAAGTCATATGGAATCTTATCTACTACATACATTTTGTTTCTTCTCTTTCTCAGATGCAGGATGTAATGTAGGGCACACCTCTACCTGACTCCGGCTTTCACGATAGCACTAGAGATGAGGGTCTGTAGGCCCTCAAGGGCGGGTACCGTACTATTGGAATCTACCCAAGAAGTTGATTGATCTACGTCTTGTGCGAAGATCTCGGGAGGCGTTCCACAATACTTGTGCAATGTTGTGCTCAGTGCTATTCCCGCCCGCAGTCCAGAAAAACGTCATCGACAGTGTTGATCGATGGCTGAAACTCCACCTACGTGGGGTTGATTCCGTCCCAGTCCCAGTGCAACTCCCGCTCGCAGCCACGTCACGTCATCGCCAACGTGCCCATTCGTCGTATCGATCGTGGTTTTGAACATCGACTCTGGAGCCCTAACAGCTTTGGGGCGACGACGGTTCTGTTTGGACCCTGGTTGTGGGTACATTTAGCGGTTGATCGCAAGAAGCTTTACCTCGGGATCTACAAGGGCTAAGAATAGACCCATCTTTTTGGCACCCTCTACGAACAGCTGTCAACTCTGCTCTTTAGCACAAGGGCCAAAGATTTCTAAAGCGTACCAAGGGCTCATTTCACCGCCACAGGGTTCGCAGCCATTCAACGGCCGAATGTACCTTACATGTCGGTTGCTTGTGGCTGAAACAGGCACAATGCAAGCCTTGACAGGGGTAAGGGATTACGTGGACAAATCCTCGAATTGGGGAACCTCCACTTGGATTCCTCGGGGATAGGCGAGGAGACTGTGGACCAGTGGCAGGCATACGACGTCGTGTTTGAGGGCTGCCCTGTACAGAAGCGCATTAGTTGCTTTTGCGTCGGCTGAATCTGCTCGACAGTCGGCGCGGTTGTAATATTCGTATCCCGAGTTTTCAACCGGTCATGGTTATGCGACGCGATCGCGATGCTACCCTGCTGAAGACAATTTTGCTCTGTTGAGCTCGAGGCGTATCGATACGCGTGTGCCTGCATCTGCACCGGGTATTTTGGCCAGAACCGATCAACGACAGGGTTGGCCGATCTGTTGAATCATGCCTGATGTGGGTGAGTGAGTGAGGCTGAGGGAACTACACCCAAGTAGCCAGATAGCACGACGAACGACGATGAACAAAGCATGCCTCTGTCCAACGTCTTGGATCTGCATTCATAACGGTAATTAGACGGCCGGCCTGGCAGTTACATGTGCAGCCAGCGGTGACGATATCTGCTTTCGGTGATTCGTTGTGGCGACGAGCTAGCGGTTTCAGTGGCATGTGGCTTTCCCGCTAACCCCTCCCTGCATACCGCTAGCCATGGTCTGGGGACCGGCGCGCGGCGTTGTTCGTCAAAGTAACTCCTTGCCATTGCTCTACTTTTCTTCACTCGCTCTTCCACCCTCACTTCTCTGCTGTTGTGTCCCCGAGAGCCTCTTCGCTCGTTTCCCTATCTCATTGTTTCCTAGAGTCACCCCGAGAATCGACGGCAGGCCTTCGTTGAATCGCTGTTGTTTTATGCATCTCCATTGTACTACTCGTTCAAACGGCTCCTGAAAAGGAAGTGCTCGACGCACGCTCTCCGCCAGCTTCTCTTTTTCGCAAAAGCCTCCGGGATCTGCATCCCATTCACAATACCCACAATACCCCGCCTGCGCGTTTGCAGTAACGACACGGCTCCTACGAACAACCTCTAGATTTCCTTTACATGACAAGCAAACGATCCTCTCAGAGGTCCTTTAGACTCTCAAATCACGGCTTCCAGCCTCTAGCCAACGAGAACATGGAGAACCGAACCACCGACATACCCCTCCAGACTGTCGTCAGTCACACCCCCTCACAGTCCTCGCCCACATCCGGAAATGAAAAGTCGGAGAAGGGGCATACTTTTTCACGGGGACGCAGGAAGCTGGCAGTGGTCGACTCCAGGACTGGAGCACCGCTGCCTCCCCGCGTAAGTGAAGAGAAGACGGCTCTCAATCGCATGGGCAGGATCTACACCAAGATCCTGAACTTCAGCATTGTCACCCGCTACATGATCTATGTCGCTCCTGTGGCGCTGCTACTCGCCATTCCCATCATCCTTTCGCAGACAGGCACGATTACGGGCTCCATTGGCAACACAAATCAGAAGAAATTCTGGATCTGGATCGAGATCATATGGCTCAGTTTCTGGGTCATGAAGATTGTGGCACACTTTATTCCTAACGTTTTCGAGTTCCTCATCGGTGTGGTCAGCCCGGGTGTCAAGAAGTATGCGCTGCTATTGAGAGCCGTGGAGAAGCCTCTCTCTTTCGTCTTCTGGATGATTGTCAACCAGGCTACTTTCCCTGCTGTAAGTTGTGCCAAAAGCCCACAGATAAACGTGTGCTAACATGGTGTAGCTTGTCCGAGTCAACCCCGGCAAGGATAGACTGGGCTGGATGGACACCATGCAATCGGTCCTGCTTGCCCTCCTCGTCTGCACCATCATCATCCTCGCTGAGCGCGTCTTGATCCAGCTCATCAGTATCAGCTACCACCGCAAGCAGTTTGATGACAAGATCAAGGAGTCTAAGCGCAACATCTACCTCCTCGGTATCCTTTATGACACTTCGCGGTCGCTATTCCCCGCCTACTGCAACGAGTTTGCTGAAGAAGACTACATCATCCAGGACACAATTCTTGATCTCGGTTTCGGTAGCAAGAAGGGAACGGCCAAGCATGGTCGATCTGGTAGCCGCACGCCCATGCGTCTTATCCAAGAAGTTGGCCGAGACGCTGGTCGCATTGGTGATAAGATCACATCAGTTTTCGGTACTATCGCTTCCGAGATCACTGGCAAGAAAGTCTTTGATCCCAACTCTGCTCATTCCGTCGTCTTGACCGCTTTGGAGAGGAACAAGAGTGCTGAAGCTCTGGCTAGGCGTATCTGGATGTCCATGGTCGTCGAAGGCAAGAACGAGCTCTACCTGGAAGATCTCGTCGAAGTCATGGGTCCAGGTCGCCAGGAGGAGGCTGAGGAATGTTTTGCTGCGATTGACCGAGACGGAAACGGCGACATCAGTTTGGAAGAGATGATCTTGACTGTGACTGATTACGCCAGACAGCGAAAGTCGATCAACTCGAGCATGCACGATGTTGACCAAGCTATCAACGCTCTCGACGGTCTGATCATGACCATTGCCGTCATTGTCTGCATTTTCGTCTTCGTCGCTTTCCTTGCTCCCGCTTTCCGTACCACACTCGCCACATCCGCGACCGCTCTTCTCTCGCTCTCTTTCGTATTCGCAACGACTGCCCAGGAAGTCCTCGGTTCTTGCATCTTTCTCTTCGTCAAGCACCCGTACGATATCGGTGATCGTGTCGATATTACCACTGAGCAGCTTACTGTGGAACACATTGCTCTTCTTTACACTGTGTTCAAGCGCGTCACAAATGGAAAGACGGTCCAGATTCCCAACATCGTCCTGAACTCTCTATGGGTAGAGAACATCACACGAAGCAAGGCCATGCGAGAGCAAGTCTCGGTCTTCTGCGACTTTGGTACATCATTCGAAGACATCAATCTACTTAAGCTGGAGATGATGAGCTTCGTTCGCGACCCTGTCAACGCCCGCGAGTTCCACCCTGATATTGACATCGAGGTTGTTAGCATTGCCGAGATGAACAAGCTGGAGCTTCGTGTCGAGATTCGTCATAAGAGCAACTGGTCCAACGAGTCACTGCGCGCATCTCGAAGATCCAAGTTCATGTGCGCGCTTGTCGTTGCTTTGCGCAAGGTTCCGATCAACGGCCCAGGTGGAGGAGATGCTGCTCTGGGCTCGCAAGACAAGCCCACATGGTCTGTCGCAGTTCCACCTGCGGAGGCTGTCGCAGCATACGAAAAGTACAAGGCCAACGCCGACGCCGGCCGTCTGCACCCACTCAACCCTGCCCAAGAGGATACCGGCAAGTCTACCGGCACAGATTACCTGGGCACCGAAGACAACGCAATCACCTCTCTTAACAACAGGAGACCCGGTCTAGACACCATCCGTGACGACACCTGGGAAGCTCGCGACGACTCCAGTACTATTGGCCGTCCTAGCATGTCAGACCAAAGGCCCGATCTCGACGAAGTCCGCGGTCTACTCCGCAAAGCCAGTTCAGCCGGAAAGAGGAAAGGTGGCACCACACTATCACCATTCGGATCCCGCGTCTCCGTCGATACACCGCGTCAGAACCCACCACCTCCTCTACCACTCAACATAGTACCATCTGGTAGCCAGTACGCACAGCCGCCAACAGGCAACTTGCCACCACCGCCTCGCAGTACTGCTCCTGGATCGCCGAGTTCCATCTCCACGGGACAGGTAGAGGAGTACTCGTACCAGACTATGGTGCCTCCGCCTCGCTCACGCAGCCGACCGCGCGCTCCGCAGGTGGAAGAGGATGAGGGCGAGAGGCAGTGGCAACCTAATGCTAATGCGCCGGCGAGGGTCCCATCGAATACGAATAACCCGTACAGGAGTCCGGGGTCGCCGCAGCAGGGATTCCAGTCTTTTAAGAGGGAGTAGAACTTTAATTGAAAGGCCTGTAAGCATGGCATATCATGATCAACATGATTATGCTCGCTAAAGCCAAGGATGTTGGAGTGAGGGGGTTTCCAAAAATGTGTATAATGTCTTTTTCTTATTTGGACTGGAGATATTTAGCATGGCATTAGTGAAGGTGTCTTGACGACGCTCACTATGGCGTTTTTCTATGTTCATTGTGTAGTGGTGTGTATATGCTCATAAGGTGGGCTTAGAGATGGAGACTTATCAAAATATACTTTTTAACATTTCATTTCGTGCTGGCTTTGCTGTTTTCGCTGTGGTATGGGCAGCGATAGTTGCTGTTTTGAGAGTGTGTGGCTGGCTGTGCACGTGTTTTCCTGGGTTTCTGAGCGTATATAAACTTCTCTTCTGGCTTCTATGCTTCTCTTCATCACACACTTTCTTCTATTTTCTCCAAAAAATGAGCCATTCTGGGCCATGGAGAATATTTTCTTCCAAAAACCACGCCTGCAATATTTATGGGCAAGAGTCCGTCTTTCCAAAACCAACTACCCTTCGAAATCAACGTTCAAAATACTTCTCCTAAACTTATGCGTCCACTTCCACTTGGAAACATTTCCTACAAAAATGCACTGCTGAATTCCCATGGAGTCGGCTGGGTGGTTCAAAAATCACATATGTCACCGCGAATACAGTGAAAAGACTGTATGTTCCTTTGGAGAACCAAAATCAAAAAGCCCTTATCTCCTCTTATGACTAAATCCGCTTTGCGACTACACCCATATACAAAACGGACGATCCCACAAATCATGCAGAGACCGCGAGATCTAAAGGTCATCGAAACGGCCTACGGCCGCCTACATGGAGTTGGGGAATCTGTTTTACGACACAAAAACAAGACAACAACTACCAGCAGAAAACTTTAGTGTTGCGGCGCTCCTCTGCTTTTCTCACAAACCTAACAATGAGGACCTGATGATCTTCAAGGTGTATAAGGTCTTCTACTCTTGCCTGGAGACTCTGCTTCTTCATTCCACAAATTTGGCTGCATTCTCCAAATAAGTACACGGCCTGCGCATGGGGGCAGCATTTTTTTTTTTTTCAGAAACATCGTCCTGGGCAATTTATGACCTGCTGTCCAGAGAACGACTCGAGCTTAATGAGTGTCGAAGATCAGTGACACCTATCCAATGTCTGCCTCTGGATTCCTTGCTACTCTTTCCGAAATCATACATTTGGATTCCAACGAGATCTTCCGATGTCTCAAAAACATTTGTCAGGAAGCACATGGAGCGAGAACTGTGCTCCTTCTGAAAAAGATAATTTCCCAAGTGTTACGTTTTGGAGCTCTTACCTTTCCCTGGAACAGTAGACTACAACCTACATGACTACGGAGACGTATAAAGTTCGCCGTTCTCATCGTAGAACTTCTTGTCTTCTATTCTACAATTCCTTATATTATTCTCAAAATCATCGAGGGTATGGTGAATGGCTGAGTTTCTGTTCAAAAGCTCTGCACCGGGTGCCTATGGCGTAGAAAGCAAATGTGGCGAATATCATGCCGCGCGTTCTGCTCTTCTCATACAACACACATCCGCTTTGCTATGTTGCGGACTTGCTCCAAATTTCTCTCAAAAGCCAGAGTCGTTATAATATGATCCTCGCAGCAAATAAAAGACCGATACTTCTCGCTGGGCTTCCTGCTTTCTTCTCACAACTACCTCATTTGCCTCATTTCCAGAATCCGGATATCACCACTATATGGGGTGTGCTGCTGTTGCTTCTAAGATGCGCTACCTTCATGGAAATGTGAGAAGGCCTCGCCTTCATTGAAAATCGTACCAGCAGCAAGGATGTGGGAGAACGAGCACCGACAAACTCAACAATTCTGAAATACTTTCTCTGGATCCAATATTCAAATGTTATCGAGGCATGGGGTGTGCATCTTACCTCAAAAATAAGTTCTCCGTATCCATGAGAAATGAAACACCAGAATTGGAGCACATATTGCTAGATATTGCTGGGAAACAGTACAAGAGGTCGTCATGAACGACAGCTGTGTGCGCCTAGCGCCATGAGACAACGATATAAACCTCTTTCTGCTTCTTCCACCTCTTTCTTCTAAACCACCGCTGTACTATTCTATGTCCGAAAACGCGTCCTAATTGTCTTATGCCAGAACTTGGGAAGAGGTTGAAGTATAAAATCTTGTGCTGCCTCTCTTCCTCTCTTCTTCCTACCATGTCGAGACATAACCTTTTTCTCCAAAACAGCAAAGGAACTCAGACATGGGAGACTGCTTCTAAAACAATGACGAGAAAGTGTGATGTGTGTGGAGCTTCCCTTCTCCTGAGAATACTTTACGACATGTTCATTGTGGGCTGGGTTTGCAACAGCACGTGCAAACCGTGATGTGTGGACACATCCGGCAGCACATTCGCATCTTCATACTGACAAGTACCCGAGAATCCACAATATAGAAAGACGAACTTCTTTCTCCTCTCTCTCTTTGTTTGCCCTTATACAAATATACTCCCTTCTTTCTCCGAAATAACCTTCCCTGCTGGTTATGGGAGTCTATTCAAAAGATCACCGTTATCAGACTATGTGTGGAGACTTTCTGGCCTCTGGAAACAGATCTGGAGTGCCCAACGCTCGCCTATTTCCGAACAGTTTACCAGGCTATGCTTCATATGTGGTGATGTTCAGCAGTCTTCCAAAACAAACACTTTCTCGTTGCATCTCGAAAGCAAGCTTGATAGTCGCCATCCAGTTCGAGAATATTTCCTACCTGTCGAAAGAGATACTGTGGGAACGAATCACTAAAAATCTGAAGACCGTGTGGAGGAACCAGGTTGTTTCGTCTATTCATTCGGCATCCTTGGATCGCCGATGCATCGCTCATCTGTGAAGGGTGCTAGATGGCGAGCAAAGTGTATAGATACTTCGCTCTCAGCCGTCGACTTCTTACTTCACAAAACCCTCTTTCTTCCACGTTTTTACCAAAAAGATATGGACGACAATATATGGTTGCGTCCGGCTTTCCAAAAACAAGAGCCAATTAAGTCATGGAGACTCCGGCCAGCAGAAAACATCACAAAACCTCTTTCAATCTCTTCCCAAAATGCACGCGCTCTAGGAAAAACGATCAGCATGGTCAATTCAGATTGACATGATTTCTCTCTGGAGTTCCTTATCACAAATGATTCGAATACCTATATATGCACGACACCTACCACGATCCCGGAAACTACACTGCCGACGATTACTAGTGGCCAGCCAACGAGCCTGCTATAAAGCCTACAACATTTACTATCCCACTACTCCTGGTTTACTGCACCCTTCCCATATTCTCTAAAAAGAAAGTGGGAGCTGTGGGATGTTGAGTTGTCTGCTCGAAAATGCACAACACCTTGTACCATGCTAGTGTTCTCCGATTTCTACAAAAACAAGCCTCGCTACTTTCATGTCCTGTCGCTCTGAGTAGAACTTCTCTCTAGACATACGAAGTTTGACAGGAGATGAAAGAAAACATTCCAAAGCTACATCGGCCTCCCGAAATGACAATTTTAAGACTCGATGATTGTCTCGAAACGACCTCCGTGCCGTGGCATGCTGAGCTTGTCCCTCTCAAACGATGTATATAAATATCCCTACTCCTGCGGCATACGAAGTCTCCTTCTTTCCACCACACTTCAATTCTTTGCTATACCAAAAATGGTGGCACTGACTCTCGATGACCGCGTTTCCTGGGCTCGAGAAGACACAGAAATGGAAAGTCATGAGATCTCTCCCAGCGATTCAAACTGCAATGCGTTCGCGCCATGGTTCGCTTCAAAACTTCTGTGCTTCTACAACAACATCGATATGAGCAATGTTTGGTGCTGAATATAGCGATATCCAAAACCAGCTCGGCGATTTATATGGAGAAAGGGATGGGAGGTGTTTCCTCAGAACGATCTAAAAACATACCACAGGACTATCTATGGAGCGGATTTCTGCCCGACTGGTGGCAACTTATCTATAAATTCTTCGCCACTCGCTCTTCTAAGACCCATCTTCTCACTATGTTGTCCTCCTTTCCTCTAAAACAATGAGCTAGCATGTATATGGCTGAGAGTTGCGTCTCCAAAACGAACTGGATTTAAAGCCATGTGAGAGGGATTCTGCGTCGTTGAGGCGCAGCCAAATACTACGGACATGGCATACATGTCTTCGTGCATTGTTGACCACCAAAAGCATATTGGGAAGCAACAACAACCCCTGCCATAACAAAGCACAAGACCGGTTCAATGCATGTGCGTTGAGGAGAAAAGGAAAAAGCAAAGCCATAGGCTTCCGAATAACATTAGATAAGAGACATAATATACATGGTTCTGCCTGCGCAAAAACCTTAGACTGCATGCAGCGTCCGTTCATCAACCCATCTCGGCGTCAAGCACCTATGATACAATTCTTCCCACTTCCAACCGCCTCCCGGCAGCATCAACCCTACTCCCGAGTTCTGCATACATGTCGCACAGATACTTTCGATGCACGGCAATCTCGCCTTGCATCTGCACGTCATCCGCCGCACCATCCACTGGCAGCCCAATCCTCAGATCCACATAGCCCGGTACTGCCGTCAGTAGCTCTCTGAAGAAGGCTTTGTGGACAAAAGGCGTGCTAGACCATTCATAGAACTCCGGATGCGACCATTCGTAGTATCTTGGATGAAGCGTAGGAACAATACGCAGAAACTGTAGTGACGGGAACGCAGAGAGGAAAGAAGCCCAGTCGACGTATCGGTTCATTCGTATAGCATCCTTCAACTGCAGTTCTACCTGCAGTCGTTTGATGCGTGATAGATCCCAGCCTTGCGGGAATTCGTAAGTAGGCACCGGGAGCTTATTGAGCGAGATAGCAAACCAGTTGTTGGTGTACATGCAATCTGTTGCTTCGCCAGCTAGTCGCTGAGATGCTCGGAGGAGTTCCAGGTGCAGGATTGGCTCGGGATCTGCTGCACGGGGACATACTGGTCGTTGTCCAGTTGAGAGCCGTCGTTGGTTCAGTCGCTCCCGAGACTTGCGTGCTGCGAGGCGTTTCTTGCGGTCATTTAGGATGGCTGTTGCGTCAAGGATGGGGAGGGAACGCGAGGTCTTGCGAACGACGAGATGGGAATAGACCTCATCTCTAATCTCTTGCGGTAGTTCGAAAAAGCGGAAGGGTCTGCCGTTGGTGATCCGTTGGCTCACCAGTGTATTCGGCGTGCGTTGAGGCTTCCGGGCCGGTATCGTCCTTGTCCGCCGTTCATGCTGTGCCCCGTGAACCGTTTGCCTGAACTCGGCATCTTTCTTTGAAATTTCCCTAGACTCTAAGCCCTTGAGGATGAGTAAACTTGGTAGTAGCTCCTCGAGCTTGGAACTTCCCCGTGGTCTTTGGTGTAGTGCCATCACAGACCAATTGCATGATACAATCTGCGACCATCAGCCACATGTTGGCGACCATTTTGTTTATGAAGTCGCCTGGACAGGGAAATTGCCCTCATCTTACACTGTCAAAATTGCACCAACATGTGGAACCCTGGCTGCGACTCTGCAGGATCGGAGGTTACAGGGTGATACGGTGATGTCGAGGTGTTCGCACCAGGTTCAGTACTGCCCTTGTCCCGAGTGACGGGGTCGAAGCGGGTCGAAGGATTGTGGTGGAGAGGAGGAGCCGGGCGCGGAGATTGTGGTCCAAGCCGCTGAATCACGACAAGCGACAGACGAAAAATGTGGCATTGTGGCAGATCTTATTCTGTCGAGACAGTCGGCGATTTCAATAATTAAGATGGTAGCTGCAGATATTGGCGCGAGTGTCAGAAAGAACAATAATGGAAGAAGTAATGGCATACCGTAGAGTGTGGTATAGCGAGGCTATGATGTGTCTTAACAGAGGTATTATAGCTTAGTGTTTCAGCCCAAGAAGATATTGCGCATGCGGTAAGGTTAAGCGAAAGCACTAGAATAGAAAAGTCGTTCCCAGGACCTTGGGACGTTCATGCGATCGGTAGTCGGTAAGTGATGGTTCTGTGGCTTGCTTGATGCTTTGCTTGCTGATTATCCGTCTACGCCCACTTTGGCGTGACGGAAGTACTTCATGCCAACCCAGGCAACAACAACCCACACCCAGCTCGTGACTGCCGTGCAAACAATCAATGCGGGATAGTAACCAGTAATGGGCAGGGTCGCGTCGTCTTCGAGGTCAGGTGGAGCGTACGGTGTCTCGCCGACGTCCCACGCCCAACTCCAAACTCCGAGGCAAGAGCCCATACCGACGACAAAGACGATCCAAGTTGCTATGAGCACGACCCAGCCCCACCACTCCGTCTCGCTGTAATCCCACTCGTCATCGGGGTCAGCCTCGGCAGGTGTCAGGACTGCCGAAATGGAAGTGCGTCGGTTACTCCGAGTTGAACGGCGGTGTGAGAGAGATGTAACAGAGCCCTGGTTCGGGCCACTGAAGGAGTAGTCATTGCCCGAGGTAGAGGGGCGGTAGAAGGACATGATGTCGTCTTCATCCGTAGTTGAAGCGTAAGGTGCCACCGGGCTCATAGGTGATGCAAGCAGTGACGGGAGGGTACGTTCAGGGTCGTCGGGTGGAGTGTAAATGACGGCGGGTGACGATGGAGACAGGTGGACAGCGGGGAGCCATCCGCTGTCGGACGAAGAATTGAGAGGAGCGTTCTCGTAGCTGAAGCGACCCGGGGCCGTTGCTTCGTCCGAGGGGTCCACGCTCGTTGTAGTGGTGATTGTGGGTGGTTTGGCTTTGCGCAAAGAGCTGCTCCGCTCACGCATCTTCGCCATAGCCGCCTTCCTTAAAGATCCCTTCCTCTGCCTGCCCTGGCTTTGGCGCAGGGCAGTCGCGATGGAAGATGCCCTCTTCGCGACTTCCACATCTTGGTCGTGCCCCTCGTCGTTGCCTATCTGAGTAGATAGTGACTGTGACTTGCCAATGGCATCTCGGAAAGCGCCTAGTATGCCTCCGGATTTGCTTCGTTGATGCCCTTGGCCGTGTTCTTCATGTTTCCCATGCCGCGTCGAAGCATGCTCTCTTTCGCCGTCAGCACGAGCTCTTTCGCCTTCAGCACGACCCTCATTGCGCGCAGCAGTTCCGTCTTGCATGGTTCCCACGTGCGTCAACTGCCATGGAGCGCCGTTGTGGTGAATCAAGGTGTCATGTTTGGAGCTAAGCTGTCAACAACGTCAACCCCCGGTCGCATGTCCTGGTTCCCTTGCAGGCGGGCTAGTCGGGTCCGGATTGGCTAATGCACCGACTATGGGTCGCCGCATATGGAAGGCCTCCCTCAATTTCCCCTCCACCTTCTGTCCGGGGTTTGACTGCGCTTCTTATCTCGTTAAGCCTGGAATGCGTCTTCGCTAACAGTCACTCATTACCGTCACTCATTTGCCATCGTCATGGCTTCGAAAATGCCTCTGCCTGCTCCACCGCGGACCCCTACGCCGCCTCCTGACGAGAACGCGCCCCAGCCCGTTGGACTAGGATTCCGAAGCGATCTGGCTGTTGGAGATACGGGGCCTAATAACAATGCGCTGCTCTCGCCCATGTCTGCCACGTTCCCCTCCAAGCAGTATGCGACCCTCGGGCCCAGTGATTCTGTCTCGCAGAGGGCGTCGCCTGCGACTCTGTATACACCCGCGAGCGCGACCTTTCCATACACGCCCGCGAGCGACTCAACCATGAATCTTGAGCCGCCCTCTGCGAACGGGTCCGAGAACCCCAATCCGTTCAATTTCCAATCTGTCGCCTACCAGCCGGGGCGGCCCCAGACAAAGGCTAATGTGAGTTCTTCTACGCAATCTTACGCAATCGTACTGACTCCCGCAGGACATCGGCCGAAGACGAGGACACAAGTACAAACACAGTAGTGTATCACATCAGATATTTCTAGAACCAGCACCGCGCGCTCCGCTCCAGCTCCCTGCCTCGCTTCCGATCCCGACGTTCAAAGAGTACCGCTCGTCAATGTCCAAGGACCAGAAGCTGCGGCTGGCATGGTGTTTCTGCCATCTGGTAGTAGCCGGCCTCGTACAATGGGGCGCACATGAATCGCTGGCACTGACAGTATTGTCTCGTCTAATCTTCTACGATGCACTTGGAGCTTTTCTGTGTGTGGCTGTTGACGTTGGATCCAACTTCGAGGTATGGAAGCGATCTAGCATACGACATCCATTTGGCTTTGAACGTCTAGAGGTCATCGCAGGACTAGGCATGTCTGTTGGGCTACTGTTCATGGGACTGGACCTCATATCGCATGGTTTGACGCACGCGCTTGAAAATACCGGAGGACATGAGGCGCATCACGCCGACGCTCACGAGCGAGTGTCGGCTGGCAGCATTGATCTTGCTGCTTTGTGCGGTGTTGTCTCGACACTGGTCTCAGCAATCTTGTTGAAGAACCATGCGCGCATAGGCAAGGTCATGAGGCTAAGTGCGATCGCTAACCTGCCTTCGGTGCTGAGCAACCCGTCGCATTTTCTGACATTATCGTGCTCGTCACTCCTGCTAATCTTGCCCCTACTGAGCATCCAGATGTATGTGTGGCTTGACCGAACCCTCTCATTTTCAGTTGCCTTCTCCATGGTGGCGCTAGGATGGATTCAAGGATGGACCCTCGGCAAGATGCTGCTCATGTCCTACTCGGGACCCGGCGTATCGGACATCATGTACGACCTGGAGACGGACCCAGCCGTGCGAACGGTAGAGGAGGCAAAATTCTGGCAGGTACACTACGGGCTCTGCCAGGCGAACCTGAAACTTCGAGTGAGGAATTTGGAGGAAATTGGGCGTCTGCGCGATCGCATTGGCAGCATGGTGCGGAACCGCTTGGGCGGCGGATACGGGAGCGGCGGGCAGAGATGGGAAATTTCAACCCAAATTACACTCGAGAAGGACTGAGGACGCTGGGCGCCGTTGCATGTCCGCGATTAGATTCTGCAATAAATCTTTCAGCCCCTGTGGCGGGCCGTCTCCCTAAGACGCTCACTAAGACTCAACTGCAGCCCGAACGTTGGCCCAAAAGCAGTGCGACGCCATGAAGCAAATAGACTTTGGCCTTGCTTTTGCGGGCACGCAACGCTGCATGAGAACTAATCCCGATGGTTCCGTTTGCCTCCTGCGAAAAAACTACATCATCTGCGTATTTAAGACAGCTGGCAGCCAGTGCGTCGACGCCTGACGAATACCCCTGGGCCGACTAAGAGTCTTAGCGAAAGCCCTGAGGACGCTTTCGATCAACAGGCACCCAGTGCGCGCACACCGCCGGCGGCTTGCCCCGTGCGACTGGCCGACTTTGGTCTGATCAGGCTTGGGCTACCTGCAGGTGCTTGCTGTTCGCTCGTCACGCCCACCGCAACTCTCCACACACCCGTTCGCTTTTGTGCTTCGCCTGCACAGCTGCCTTCAGTTTTTCGAGAGCGTTAATGAGCCTGTGACCTGCGAGGCTGGCAGGAGGCACATAATATACTGGCCATATGCCCTGGCTGGGCATGGCGCGAGGACGCGATGACCGGGCCACACGACACCGTGACGACGGCGAATATCTCGACGAGCGAGAACGGAGACATCGCCGACACAAGTCCCGCGAGCACCACGACAACGAACCCACAGCTTCCACACGAGAACGCAGAGAGCGCCGACGGGCGGATGAGGCGAGGAGGCAAGCAGAGCTGGACATTGAAGATTTGAGGGCGCGCAGAGAATCTTACTACTCACGCAACGAGGCCGAGCGGAGGCGCGACCGAGACAGTCGCATGGAGAAGGAGAGCAGCAGACGGGCAGCTCCTGTCAAGGAAAAGTCACGCAGCAGTCGCGAAAAGGACGTGCGACGGGACAGCACGCGGAAGCCCAAGAGGCGAGAAGTGATACCTGATGATGAGGACGACTTCGTCTTTGGCCGCCCCAAGTCCATGGGCCATGTCGAAGAAGTCACTGTGCGACGATCGTCGGCGCGCAAGAGAAGCGAGGAAGGCAATTCTTCTAGCAGGACTGCCTACACTCCGCATTCTGGCTCTGGATCTGCGTCAGTCCGCAGGGTCGAAGTCCCGCCGTTGACCAGGTTAGACCCGTCTCCACTTGTACACGTAGCTCGACTAATGAGGGCCAGGAATTCTTCTACACGCGAGCCAAAAGCACATACACGTGATGCGCCTGTTAGAGAGGCCAGACCCTCTGGTACACGGCAGCGGAGCAACACTGTCAAGTCGCCACCCCCTACGCCGCTTACCAGGACGCAGTCGGTCAAGGATGCTGCCCGTAAGAGTACTGGGGGCATCTTATCAAGCTTGTTCTCCAAGCCTACTCCCATCTCACGTTCGTCTTCCCGTAGGGACCGGGATGAGGAGAAGAGGTTAGTACTAACATCACGTTGTCTCTACTGTGCTAACTCCATTCAGGGTCGACTGTCTCGTGTGCATGAACGATGACCTTCCTCTCAGCAAGACTGTCAAGCTTGCATGTGGTCACCGCATGTGCTACGGATGCCTCAAACGCCAATTCACCCTCTCGGTCAAGGATCCTGCCCACATGCCACCCCGATGCTGCACCTCAGAGCACATCCCGTTGAAGTATGCCGACCGACTCTTCGATGACAAGTTCAAGGTCCAATGGAACAAAAAGTTCCAAGAGTACACAACCGCCAACCGCCTGTACTGTCCCTCGAAAGGATGCGGCCAGTGGATCAAGCCTTCAAAGATCAAGATGGACCCAACGTACGGCCGCAAGTACGCACGCTGCAGCTCATGCAACACCAAGGTGTGCGTACTCTGCAACAGTAAATTCCACACGAAGCGCGAATGCCCCAAGGACGAGGAGACCAACCGTCTAGTCGAGATGGCCAAGGAGAAGGGTTGGCAACGGTGCTACAGCTGCAAGGCTGTAGTCGAGCTGAAAGAAGGTTGCAATCACATGACCTGGTAAGTCTAGCATGTCACTCGCACACATCACAAGATCTAACAGTAGTCTCTAGCCGCTGCACAGCACAATTCTGCATGGTCTGCGCCGCTCCCTGGAAAACCTGCAACTGCCCATGGTTCAACTATCAACACATTCCCGACGACGACCGCCTAAACGACATGCGCGTTCCCTACCCCCAACAAGCTCGCTACGCCGACGTAGAAGTCATCGAAATCCCGGAACAACCTTCTCCTCCCCTGGCCCGACGCCCCAGCGTCCGCACCCACAACCGCAGTGAACGCGACCTCCCCCGTCCCGAGTCCCGCAGGCTATCTGCTCACCTTCGCAACTCGCTCCACCTCAACCCCACGCCGACCGTTTCTTCCGTCCGCCGCGATGGACCGGAGGCCGCAGTATACGGCGTTGGTAACGCGGCTGCCCACCACATGAACGACTCGTACGCTATCCGCACCCCCGTGTCTGCTGTCCGCACCGCAACCCGCACCTCGACACCCCGCGGATCCTTTTTCAGCAGTAGCACACGCCGCCCTGCGCCTGCTCCCGCTCCCGTTCCTGTAGCCCGTCCCGTTCGACCTGCTCCCCCTCAGCAGGTCGTCACCTCTTCTACCATGGCTGGTCTATCCCGCGACGGCCGCAAAGTCGGGCAGAACCGTGTGGGCACTTGGCTCACTCATGTCCAAATCGATCCTGAAGCTACCAACACAGCGGCACAGGATGTCGAGGTGGATGACTGGAGGTGCGATGGTACTATGATTGGTATCGACTAGATATCGCATTCTCGCACACTCTGTGCAGAACCAAAACATAATGACGGCGTTTTTTTGCTTGGGTTTCATCTCCTCAACTAGCGTTTTCACTTCTTCGACTTTGCATTTTTCTGGATTTTACTTTGGGATACTACTGGATTTTGGGATACAGGGTTCTGTTTTTTTTTTCGGTTATGGGAATGTTTAGAGTTACCCTTCTGTCACCCTTTCACGGGTCACCTCTACGCGAGCAATCGCGACGACTTTTTCTTTGTATTGTGTGTATAGTCGTGTTGATATTTAGCGGTTTTTGGTTAGCATTTAGCCGGCAAGATACCCACCTTTACGCCCTCGTTTAATCAGTTATTATGTTAATGCTATCATTTTGTTGTCTATGGAATACGCTGGTCTACTTGAAACTATGGATGTGATGCTTGGTGAGTAGAAAGGGACCGAAGTGAACCATGTTTTGATGTGCAGGATGGAGAGAACTATGGTGTATGAGAAGTGGAGAAGGTTGATATTGATATTGTGATTATATCATCCGATTATAAAGGCTTTGTATACTTTGGTGCTTGTAATCCATCACGAGGCTTGCTGACAGTAAGCGAGACGGGGCACAGTAACTTGATAGATGATGATATTGACCCATAACCAAGAGCCATGTACCAACTAACCCCATGCTCCTACTCTGTACCATGATCTCATACTAATCTCGGCTACGACCAAGCCAGTTAGAGATACTGAGATCGATCCAAGTATCATGATGCATGACGCCAGAGTACGTGGCAACAGCACAATGGTCGCCTTGCTTGACCAGTATGCACAAAAATGAAGCGATGGATCCACGAGCAGAGAGGGGTAGCAGATCCACCCCCACACTGTACCAGCCTTCGTATACTGGTACCCGAGGCCGATGGATTGGCAAAAAGAATGGTTCGAAATATCTTGAGCTAGCTCAAGCACGGTGATGTCCCCTTCGTGGATCGAACACGATACCTCCAGATTTAGTGACTGATGACTTCAGTCTGGCGCTCTCCCAATTGAGCTAAGGAGACGATTTCTTATTGGGTGTTTCTTGAGAAGTATCAATTATATTTCGAGCGTTAACAGCTTCTCGCAAACAAATGAGGTGGCTAGTTTATCAAGTCCAAAAGGTTGCCTCGTGTGCGATGTACATCCGTGGAGCGAATGTTGTTGACTAGAAAGAACAGAGGTTAGTGTACCGAGGCTCGCCCATCGCAAGTCCGTCAGCTCCACATCTCCATCTCCAACATCTTTCTGCGCCAAAGCTCCCACAACTCCACAACGTTGTCGCAAGACTTCCAGTCCCCATACAACACCTCCAGAATGCAGCCCTCACCCCTCGCGAACCCATTGGCAACCGTAGCCCAGCTCGAAACCTCCGGTTCCCAACTCGACGGCATCCCATCTGATCTCGAAGACTCAATCCGTTTCGCCGGCGCCCGCCTCACACAAGCCGCAGGCATACTCCTCCGCCTCCCACAAGAAGTCGTCGCACAAGCTATCGTAGTATCCATGCGCTTCTGGCTCGGCCCGGAAGGAGGAAGTCTCGCAGAATTCGGCGCAGAACAAGTCTCAGCCGCATCGCTATACCTCACCACGAAGCTCTCTGCCTATCCCAAGTCAGCGCGCAGTCTGGTTAACGTGTACGCGTATCTTGATTCGTTACCGGTTACCTATTTCGACGGAGACCATCTGGAGCAGTCGAAGGATGCGGCGAGATATTATGTGAGCGAGGGCACGTACGAGCGGCGCCGCGCAACGCTGTTCACGACCGAACAACGTATTCTTCGTACTCTTGGGTTCAATGTTGCCGTCCAGTTACCGTACACGCTATGTATAACATATATGCAAGCACTCGACATCTTCTCCCATCCTCGCGCATCCGAACTTGCGAAACGTGCGATTGCGCATTTGAATACTGCGTTACTGAGTCCGCAGTGCCTGTACCTTACGCATCAGCCACCGGCGCTGGCGACGGCAGCTATCTATCTGGCGGCGAGGGAGACGGGGATCAAGATGCCAGAGTGTGAGTGGTGGGAGGTGTTTGATACAGATAGAGAGGTTTTGGGGTTCTTGTGTGTGGGCATGTTGAGTCTGGAAGGATTTGCAAGGGAGGAACAGAAGAGGTGGGAGGGGAGGAAGTGTCCGATGAGTGTTGAAGCATTGGAGAGGGAGATCGAGAGGAGGAAGGAGGAAGAGGTGGATGAGGCTTGAGGCAGGCGCCTGGAAGATGACAAAAAACTTGCGCATTGTGCATCATGGCTTCTCACACGATATGCGCCATAAAGTTTGGTCCTATCTTGAAACCTACGGAATACACATCACGGATACTACAGGCCGCATGCCAATACCTCGTACGGTTCTCGAACCTCCATGACGAATACCGGATGTAGTACAATATTCACGATGTCGCACAATCTTCTGGAAACCCATACGCCTTCACGATGTCAGTCGTTGGCAAACAGTTTGCAAACCTGAAAAGCAGCGCCATCGGCATGATATGATCAGATATCTCGCCAGTACCACAACCAACCAAAGTTTCATTCACACCAATATGGCACAACGAGGAAGACAAGTTAGAGTAGGGGATCGTGTCGTCGTCGCTATCATCAATGAAGATGTCGATCACACCGGTTTGGCATTACGAAGAGTAGAACTTGAGATAGGAGATCCGCACGCATCGCTAGCAACTCAAGCAATGCTACGAATGCCACCGTCGCAGTTTGTTTCTCCCCAAAGACAGATGACTGATCGCAGTGTAAAAACTCAGAGCGGTCAAACTGTGAAGGGAGCCTACGAGCGGCGTGTTACTCGTTCACAGTCAGATTGGTATGAACAACGCGATGTGTATTCACAAATGTATCATGAATGGCTACGTCCTGGATTCCCACGATCATTAGATCATTACGAAACCTGTAGCATCGACAACCCTGGAAACAATAGCATGGAGACCCCTCTTTCTCCTGTTGGAGAACATGACACTACTTCCAGCTCTCGCATCAACCCAATAAGACTGAGTCGTAGTACTGCTGTAAAGCACAACAGTACGAAAGATAGGAAGACCGGAATTGAGAAGCACGACAGCACAGCGCACAACAGCCGCGCTTCAGAGATTGCGGCGGCTCATGCTCCAGCTGCCCAGTCTCCTGTAGATTCACGACCATCTAATGTACGACGTCGCTTTAGCTTCGAACTCGCTGACCCAAGCGATGCGACCGGATTGTCAGACCCGCCTGATTTTGAATACGTTCCGATAACTCCGGCGGCCACAGACCTAAAACGTCAACCGGCACTGGTATCGGAAGCAAATCACCAGGTGCGAGCGTCTATTAATCTCTCTCGACCACAAATACCTATCTGGGAAGAGCAAGGTCGTCCAGCAACCAAAGAAGAACGCGATCAAGAAGAGCTCAAAGACTTGGATAGGATGCGACGTCGCGTTCTGACGACTTTCGATGAGATATTGGGAGAGCGAAAGATTCCCACAGCGCTACTGTAAGAGTCATGGAGAGATATACATGCTATATCATAGAAGGCTAAGATGTGGATGTGAGAGTCAATACTATTGCTCGATCATCTGGCTTTGGCAAACACCATCCTGTCCACAGTCGAGCACATGACTTCCAGACCAACAGCACATTGTCAGCTAGCATGTGCTCACACTCAAACGCAACGTCACAACGCAACTGCTTGCTCTACTACACTGTGCATTCGTCTTTTAATCTCCTCATGACTACCACAAAAGCAAGATGAGAGTCCTATCATAATGCACCATTATAACTTTGACACAATGTATTATCAGTCTCACTTACAGTTTCACACCATCCTAAAGTATCGCGAAGTGCAGCCTACACTTTTTTTTTTTTACATTAACAGATCACTATTTACACCCGATTCTCACTCCCTTCTAGGCCAACCACAGTGAATCTACTCTTCACACAACCTCAACTAAGGCACCTCATTTCTAGCTATGCCGCGCACACTCTTCGCTCTACCCACGGAAACCCACTCTTCCTGGCTAGACGTCTTCCCGCCATCACCTGGCTCTTCCCCACCACCCAAACGCACACCCCACGCAACTCCCCAAATGTTGTCTCGTATTCACGCCCTCAAAGACTCCCTCTCCATCATCAGACTATCGTTAAATACACGCATACACATGTCCCTCTCGCACAAACATCACGGCTTCTACTGCGTTCACTGCACCCCTCGTGCTACTCACGGAGCCTGCGGTCCAACGTGCCCTTTGCTACGCCCACAAAAGTCCTACGGCCCCTTTTTCGACGTCGCAGATGAAGACTGGTACAGACAACTCGCATCTGATAAAGCAAAGTACAGGGAAATCACGGATGATATGGCGGCACGGGGAACGACCGTGTACGCGAGTACTGTTGCGCGGTGGGAGAGGGCGGTAGCGAAATTGAGAAAGGGGGTTGAGATGCCGAGCGAATATTGGGAGAGCGAGGGGTGGCGGTATGTTAAGATTGTAGACAAGAGGAAGAGGATAGAGTTCACAAGGGGGTGGAGCTTCGAAGGGGCTTGGGGGAGTGGGCCTGGGTTGGAAGGGGAGGTGGCGCCTGAGGTGAGGAAGAGGAAGTTTGGAGGAAGTGTTGATGCTGATGGGGGTTATAGGTTGTTGGAAAACATTGCAAAACGAGTTAAGAGAATGTAGTTAGCATGCGTTAGAGGAGCCGAAGAGAGTAAAGAAGGTTTATTTGTGTGTGATGCTGACCCTTCTGTGTAAAACGCAGGTATGGTTATTGATAAGACATTCTTTCCAATTTCAGTTCTCCATCAAGGAACTTTTCCTTTTAATCTGTTACAAACATTGGTACAAGTACCTAGTACCGAATGAAACAAGAGGTTGCGAATACCTCTTGGGTTCGATATGATATACTGGTACTCGATCCTGAGTTAACTTTGAATATTCGAAGTTCAGAGGTTAGGTTTTGCCTGTTACAAATTAGTGAAAACCTTGTTCAAAGCAACTACTTCTTACCTGCATGGCTCTGAACGACTCTACTGTATCCGTAATTGTTTCCTTTAACCCTCTGAAGCTCATCCCTAGCTCCTTCTTTGTCCAAGAGTTGTCTACTAGGAAATGTTCATGTCGCGGTTTACCTTCTGGATCTGGCACCAAGCCGGCCCATTCTGGCGCCACATCTTTCAGTATAGCACAAACATCCTGGAAAAGGAATGTCCCGCCGACTGGTAGAAAACGTCCTCCAGTTGCATGCTCGAATGCTTTAAGGTGTGCTTGAGCGACATCCCGAACGTCGCAAAACGCAGGCAGAGGTGTTGGTGGAACTTCTTTGACGTGCCCTGTCATCAGGTTCCAGATGTCGAGCGCAGATTGATTTAAATTTGCAGTGGAGTCAAGCTGGGCGACTGGACCATAAATCATGGGGGGATTAACGGTCGCGAGGCTGAAGTTTGGCTTCTCTGCTTCTACAAAGTCCCACGCAGCAAGTTCTGCGAGCTTCTTGGAAGCGCTTTTATGTTCAATCAGCATCTTACTCGGTAGATTCTTTGGACTAGGACTTACACGTATTGAAGTGGCTTGACTTTGAGTGCTTGCTCCTTGGTGATCGGATTCCAATCCTTCTCGGTGTAGACGTACCCTGGTCGTGGACCCTTGGAAAAGTCACAGACAGCTGCAAATGATGATGTTACCACTACACGTTTGATTCTGCCATCGGTCCTTTTCGCAGCACTTTTTAGAATTCCAAGAGTACCATGGACAGCAGGAAGGTATACATCGTCGAAATTCTTGACACCGTTATAGAAAGGCGAAGCCACATGGATTATGCCGTCGACACCATCGAGATAACTGTCGAATGCGCCTGGTGCGGTGATATCAGGGACAATTACCAGCTCGTACTTTAGACCAGAGATTCCAAGCTTGTTGGCGGCAGTATGTACTTGTGCTGCAGACTTCTGGCTCCGCACCGCTCCGCGAACGAAATATCCTGCAGACGTGAAACACAAGAGGGTCTGAATACCGACAAACCCGGAGACACCAGTCATGAGAACTGCTTTGGAAGCCATTCTGCGCTAGCGATGAGGTAATGAGCTTTGGATATACTGAAAGCTGTTGGAGCAACCTCACCTAATCGGAGGTGATTAGGGTGATCTTTCTGAATAGGTGCAAAGGCTAGTTTGAGATACAAGTAGATTGAATCGCTACTGAGACTAAAAAGGTATTCTCCAACCTTTCGTGAATGAAGTAGTATATGGAGGGGATTTCCGAGCTTGACCCTCGGGTGATCACTAAACACCAAACTCTGGGTAAGTAAGCAGGATACTAAACATCAAACCCTACGCGCGTAAGCTGTATCATCTTTTACTTTTCTGGTGAACAATAAACATTGAACCCCGCTACATAGGTAGCTTGAACCGAGGTATAGGGAGCAGGAGCAGCAGCATAAAAAGCGAGGGTGGTTGACTGGATTGAGACAAATCCTTAACTAGTCCAAGGTCTTTAAACGGAACCATTGCTTCTCTTACTGAACATCTTTTTCGGGACATTCTCTGCAAGATACATCAAAGATGCCCATCTGGCTCGTTCTTCATGGCTCAGCAACTTTCACTGACGAAGCCTCCCGCGAGGCGTTTGCCAAGGACGTTACCTCCAAAATATACAAGATGATTCCGCCCTTTTACACTGACGTATCATTTGTCCCAACGCCATCCCAGTATGTCGGTGGCGTGAAGAATGATAAGATGGTGCGATTCGTCATCTTCGAGCTAGCAGGAACGCACAATGCCGCTGAGGAGCGCGAGGCGTGGATTCATCACATCGACTCTGTGATAAAGCCTCATATTGCAGATAAAGGCTATGATTGGGAATTTCATATCGAAGAACCACGGAGAGATTTGTGGAAGATCCAAGGATTGATACCACCGCCATTGGTGAGCGAGGCGCACAAGAAGTGGAGAAGAGAGAACAAGCCGACTCCATATACTAAGCAGGATGGACGGATCGAGAAAGCGTTGCTGTAAGAACGGACAAGGTGGCCTTTTGCCCGATTCGAGTTGATGGCTTTGATTTTGTTATGACCGAGGAAACTTTGGTGGTGGAGATAAGGTGCGATAAGAACAGGTAGTATGGTTACGAGGGTAGAAACATAAGAGTGAATCAACGCACCTGGTTTTACGTCTGAGATAACATCATTCGTTTTGAGAGGTCATGTTGTCTTAGAGACGTCTGGTTCGCACACTGGTGTACTAGCATCGTTACCCATGTAGTGTTCAGGCTCCTGTATGTCGCTCAAAAAGCTCCATGATCGCTTGAAATTCGGGGCCCGCTCGGCTGTAGGACCATGAAGTCAAGATCATTATGCGATCCTGAGGCTGTAGTTATGCTTTTGATAGCTATTCGTATTGCTGAACATGTATATGTAAAGGTCAAAGTCTGGATCGTATTTAGCGCAAGCTTTGTAGACATATCAACAGGGCATATTCAGCTCTAAGTGCGGGCAGGAGTGCAGTATCCTTGGGTGGCTGTAAGGCTAAGCGATCGCCGCTGCAGCGTTGCAGATGTGGTTATTCGAGCCTCCTGTGACGTGCGTCGCGGCTAAACCATGACATGACGTCAACGCGAGCTTAGACAAACTACAGCTCCAGAACTCGACGTCTTGCATACAACCAACTTAACTCAAACCTATACATCTCGCAACACCAGAATCTTTGTCAATCTCAATTCCTTTGTACCAATTTACATCATGAGCTTCCTTCGCCCCATGTCGATGCTGCGTTCGGCAGCTCTACGGCCCGCACTTTCGGCGGCCCCCCGTGCCCGTGTACAAGTCCGCTTCGCGACCTCAGATTACGGTTCCGGTAAGGGCAACCCAGCTGGAGAGTCACCAGAGAAGCAAGGCCAGAACCCCAGCGAGAACCTCGAGCATCCCGGCCCCGCACCGCCCAAGGTTGCCCAAGGCCAGTCTTCGTCGTCGCCAAACAAGGACGGCAACTCGAACCAGAATGAGTCCCCCAAGCCCTCATCAGAGTCGCCAGCTCCTTCATCAAACAAGTCTGGCAAGCGCGAATTCTCGACATTTGCACGCCAGATGAAGGAGAGCAAAGAGCCAGCCGTCAAGCAGGGTCAAGACAACAAGCCCAGCCCCAACGAAGTCAAAGGTGCGAAACCCAAAATCCTCAACGAAAACCCTCCTGCACCCGAAGAAGAGAGCGAGGACGTCAAGCAACACAACAAGGACATGGATAACCGGGCGGAACAGGCGCATGAGAAGGTCGACAACGAGGAAGCAGAGAAAGACAAAGTCCCTGCCAGCTTCTGGAAAGGTACGTTATGTCAAAGCGACAGGCATCAGATATGTTGCTAACAAGTGCACAGGCGAAGGTGGACGAAGTGGATCTGAAGGCGTACGAGGATGAGCAAGAGCTTATGCAGAGCGCGAACAACATGACCCTGATGTATAATTAGCTAGAGATGACTGTCGAGAGTCTCAGGAAATGCATTGCATCCATCAAGCACCAAGTGCTTAATTGACGTGTTTGCTTGCTCCCCATGAGTTGTTGCGTGTAAAAGAAGGGCTGAGCTTCATAACTCTTGTGCATGTTGGGCCGATGACGTAGTGGGCTAGCGTGGTGATCGCCCCCGCATTATGGGGATGGGAATTTTTTGAAATGCCATGGCGACACACGGCACAGCCGAGTGGAGCTATTTCGTGCCACTTGTGCCATGATGATGAGTTTTGACATGGCAAACAAGACGACATGCCTCGGGGGTTCTCCCAGACTGTCAGATGTCAAACATAACAAAGGCCTAGACCGTGTTTGCAGAAGACGATCTCACAATTGCGCACAGTCAAAAGACGCGGTTGCATGTGGCCATAGCTCCTCATTGGCTGCTTCTGGAGGCAGGCGCGTTGGGGATCTTGTTTGTCCAAGCTCCATACGTGCAGCACTACGTCACTTCCACGCACACAATCTACCCGCCATTGTCTGTCCCTCCCCTCATAAACGCTCTGCCCACCATTACCTCTAGTCCTCACACCTCTGCCGAGTTTGCCTAAATCTCGACCCTCGTCTTTTTCTCTATCACCGATATTAAGCATTCTCATATCGGCAGCCGCACATCATGAGATTCTCCCTTACATCCACTCTCGTGGCATCGCTTGCTGCTACAGCAACGGCCAACAGCTGGTTTGGAAGCGCCGGTGCGTATAGTAAACAAGCCCTCCCCTTAGTTTTTGAATTGCCCATCGCGTCATGCAGCAGTCAACTGACGTCAGGAAGCAGTCTACGACAAGTGGCATGAGACGGAGCTTGAGCGCTGGCTCAGCGACCACGGCGTTCCCCACCCCAGCCCCTCTGACCGCAAGAACCTCCAGTCAACGGTCAAGGCCAACTGGAACGACAAGGTTGTGACTCCCTACACCAGCTGGGATGCTCAGACTCTCTCAAACTACCTGACCCTCAAGGGCCAGCAGGCCAAGAAGGGCACTGAGAAGGATGCCAAGAGCCTCGCTGAGCAGGTCAAGGTCTACTGGACTGAGACTGAGGACTCGGCGAACCAGGCCTATGGTAGCGTCAAGGACTGGATCTTCGATTCGTACGTGCCGGTGCCAGTATCACATCATCTGTACAATGGCTAACAATCCGCAGTTGGTCGGATTCTCAGCTCAAGGCTTTTGCCGACAAGCACGGCATCCCCGTCCCCCAGCCCCGCCAGCGTGACTCTCTTCTCGCAGCCGTCCGTGACAACTACCAGTCCGCAGCCGAGAAGGCCAAGGAGACTGCCAACTACCCCGGTGACTGGCTCTACGCTTCCTGGTCTGACTCTGACCTCAAGTCTTGGTTCGACGAGCGCGGTTACAACGTTCCCCAGCCCAGCACCCGCGACTCGATGATTGCTGCTCTCCGCCGCCAGTCTCGTCTTGCTAGCCAGCAATCCCAGAGTGCCTACGCTTCGGTTTCTTCCGCTGCTGCCAACGCCCAGCAGAGCCTCAGTGACGCCCTCCTTGACTCTTGGTCTGACAGCCAGATCAAGGAGTGGGCTGACAAGAACGGCATCAAGGTTCCCCAGGGTTCCAAGCGTAACGAGCTCATCGCTCTTGCCCGTAAGCACCGTGCTCGTCTCTACGGCGACAGCGCTTCTGCCTCTGCCGAATCTGTCTCTGCTTCTGGTGCTTCCGCTTACGGTGCCGCTACCTCCAAGGCTGGTAACCAGTACGCTGCTGCCACCGGTGGATTCGCTTACTACACCGACTTGATCAAGCAACAGATTGGTCTCGCTGAGGCTAGCGTTGCCTCCGCTACTGATGCTGCCGGATCCAGCGCCAGCTCTGCTTCTGTCCGTGCTTCCTCTAGTGCCAGCTCCCTTACTGGCGCTGCTGCCAAGGCTGCCTCCTCATCCTCGTCCTCTATCTCCAAGTCGGCTGCTAGCGCCAACGCCGCTGCCTCCTCGTCCGCTTCCAGCGCTTCCTCTGTTGCCTCAAAGTCTGCTCAGAGCGGATACGATGCTGCTGCCGCTAGCGCCAGCTCCGCCTCTGCCTCTGCTAAGCAGGAGTTGTAAGCGTCTCGCTACCAATCACCACCGACAAGCAACGTTCGGTCATATCCTTCCTCCCTTTGATATGACTGCCATACGTGCCACTTTCACGACCTTACGATCTGCGTACGGAATAGGCGGAAAATGAAATGGAATCACTGTAACATTAGGATCACAACGATATCCCCTCTGCGACCACCTCCTAGTAGGCTTTCGGAGGGTCGATTTGAGTTTTTCTTTCATTCCTTCCTTGGAAATTGGGAAGGAAGGATGCACGGCGTCTCACGTAGTTTAGTATGCCGCTTGATAATGAAAAAAAGTATAATTGTATCTGCTATGTTCGAATGGATGGGTGTTTGATGTATGATGTAAGGTTGGGTGTGGAGGACGCGGCGGGACGGGAGTATATATGTTGCCGTGGTGACATGTTTACGATGGTGGTGAATGGCAGCCGTGCAACATGAAATCATATTCACCTGTCCATGCAAATTCGTAGGCAACTTGCAGTATCGTATGTAGCCATTGGAGTCGGCGCTAATTTGACGCGGCCTAGACTACTGATGTCTGACACCTGCGGCACCATCAAACTGAACACCAACCACAACTTTATTGTGCACATGTCATCACAAGATGAGCGCATTTCGCGCAGCTTCCAGAACATACACTGCCAACATTACAAGCTTTGACAAGCTCATCGCACCGTAATCCGCGGACCGATTTGTTTCACTGCAGATCTGCGACGCGAACACCCTGTTTCGAGTCTCACGGCCGTCTCCAGTTTTCTCACCGTACGAATGGGACGAGAAGAAGCGAACTCCGCATGAGCAAACTGTCAAAGAGTAATCCCGGTTCCCTCTCTCCGGATTCTGATAAGGTTGGGAGCGCTGTTCATGAGGTGCAGATTGTGAGAGCATGCGTGGCTCAGCGCCTAAAGGTGACTTCATCGGCCCGTAAATCAGACAGACTGTGTAATCGGAGGCTCGGGATGCGAGGAAGTATAAGATGGTGCTCAGGTATCTGTGGAATAGTGCATCAGTCTCATCAATCTTTTCAAGCATTCCTTCGTTCCTTCCTCTACGATCGCTACTCACCTGGAGTGAGCTAGACCTCAATTTACTACATACATCAACGTACACATATACCTAATCTTAAATCTACCATTCGCGCTTCACAAATACGCCAAAATGAAGACCTTCACCCTCCTCTGCCTTTTCGCCTCCGCCATCGCAGCTCCAGCTCCCCAAGCCTCAGGCACCACCAACTGCGCCGCCATCCAAACCAAGCTCGAGCAAGGCATCCAAGCCAACCTCGACATTCAAGCCCAAGAGCTAAAAGGGTATGCTTACTCCCCTTCCGCACAAATTCTCAATACTGACAGATGCCCTCAGCGTGTACGCCCTAAAACTTCAAGGCGGAACCGCCGGCTTCAATGCCACCCAGACCTCCGTTCTTGCAATCCAACAACGCGGCGTCGACATTCGCGCCAACAACCAGAAACTCGCCAAAGAGATCAACAGCCCGGCTGCTGATGGACTGGCTATTGTAGCTGGTGCGCAGACCAAGGAGATTGATCAAGTCAAGAGTTTGAAGGGTAATGCAGCGGCGGATGGAGAGACGATCAAGATGTTGGTGCAGGAGGTCATGGATGGGACGATGCAGAATCAGAAGAACTTACAGGCGGCAAAGGGTCAGGCATGTGCGAAGTAGGGAGTTAGCTCGAGCAGGAGTGAGATGGGTAGCATGTGTTTAACTGTAAGAGTATTGCTGAGTGCTGTCTTTGAGGGGGTTGTATGGCATGATATTTCAAGAGAGGTAATGCTAGTCTGGTATCCACAGTTTCGTCTACGATAATTCAACGTGTAGTACGCAAATGCTCAAATGGTGCACTGCATGCATCAGTATATCAGAGATTAACAAATTCACAAATCACTTACGCATTGGATAAACTAGTCACAGCTGTTAGTCTCTTTTTTTTTTGCTCGGAATCGGATCTAACACTTACTCCGCTACCGTTGCAAGAGTCGAGGGCGGGCTGTCCACCCCTACCAGGGTATACACAATTCCTAAATGTAGGGAAAGTCGGATTTGGGCTTCCTGGTTCTTGACACTATACGCGTATTATGAATTGAGATTCTTGTTCTTCTTATGCTTCGCTAATAACTCACGCAGAAGGACCAGCTCTGCGAACAGTTAGTAGGTGCTGGCTTTCTAGTGATCTGTGCTGTACTCACATAGGGACCCGGACATGAAGACCCTGACGGTAAACCCCATCCTCCATTACAAAAAGCGGCCTCAGAAGAGGCAGCGATAGCCGCAAGAATTGACAGGGCAAGTTTCATGGTAGTGGATGACGAGGATACGTTATTTCTCCAAGGGTGTACCAAACAACTAGTCGTGTGATGAACACACATATATACCCGATATTGCCATCTTATACGGATGAATTCTTGTCCAGCAGCAATGAGCGGTCACTCATCAACAATGTCTCACCGATGTACCTGGACATTCTGGATTAATTGTGGTTCCTACTTGGTTTCCGCCGCGATATATCCGCAACTAGCTCAAGCTAGGTAGTCAATTTCGCCACGTCGTGAAGGCAGAATAGAGTAGGGGTCGTGCGGCGAAGACTCTCCATGAGATATGAATAATAGAGTACAGTATAAGAGGAAACGGGTGATGCTCTTCTCACCAAACAAGTGGCAGCGAACAAATAGCCTGACTGCTCATGATTGAGTTGATATTGCGCTACCGCCAAAATACCGAACCAAACTGCTGGTGAAGTGGTCGTCGGGTACGTAAGTACCGGTGGACTAGACCAAGCTGCAGGGTTCAATTGAGGCGGTAACCCGGAAACCGGCTACCGCTAAGGAGCTTCCGAGCATAGCGACTGTACGGAAGAAGACATACGAAGCATTGTAGTGTCGCAAACAGTGAGTTGTGGACCCATTGCGCAGCTGCCGGCTGGGCAGCTTACGCTAGCACTAGCACGGACTTGGCTAGCGCCAGGAACTAATACGTACGTAAAGGCACCGGGATAAGTGCTCTCCTCCAAGGCCCGAATGAACTTGAAACGGGATGGTTTTGACGATAATGGTGATGCCGAATTGGAGGAGTATCGCTGTTCAGTAATCATGTAGGAATACATAGGTAGATGATAATGCAGGTGTGTTCTCCGGCTACCTGGTTTCCGCTGCATGCAAATGTACGTGTTCAATCACTGGAGTGAGTGAAACCAAGGCCATAAATGCCATGTATGTTGAACCGGGAAATAGCGATGAGAATACCAGCTACGGCTTTATGTTGATCGTTGCCCATCTAGCACGGCGAAGAACCCACGACCCATTTTAATAGATTGCCCAGGTGAGGCTCATGGCATGACGAAGATGCCTACCAGTATATAGAGACTAGAATCGATCTACGGATATACCAAACAGCAATATAAATACTTGGACACACGCTCTTCTGGAATGCCTATCATCTACCATCTACCAGCTACTCAGTTGACTTTGATATAATACCCTCGAAAACCCGACCGCCATGCAGCCTCTTCGCATCCTCTCTTCTGTGCTTCTCAGCCTAACACTAGCAACAGCTTCCCCGGTTCCTGACTCTGCTGTTCAAATCTCCGACAACGCACAAATGCTTGGACGAAACATGTGTCTCTACTCCGGCGATCAAATCAAGGCATGCTCCGGTGACGGAGCGGGAGTATGTTGCACTGGTGACTTGAAGTGTCCAAGTGGTGGAGGTTGCGCTGCCGCTGGTGTCTGCTACTACAACTGCTAAGGCTGCGATCGGATGCTTCTCTTTCTGTTGCTTAACCATACGGTAATTTGTTCCTTTCTCCATGATCTGGGTTGATTCAGTGATCTAACAGACGTAGACAATTTGGTACGTTATGGAAGCTTTATACCCAAAGCATGAGATGATTGGTGTCATTGTTCTGGAACCGCGAGCTCCCTTCCACTCAATTCAGTTTGGTCCTAGGATAATTGTCTGCATCGAGTTTGGAGTCAGTTAGTGAGAATGATATGCAGTTCTTCATCTTCTTCCAAGTAGACACACAACTCATGGACTGCCTGAGAGAGTTCCTCGATCGTAAAGGTGTTAGCATCTACCAGTGAACCAAAAGACAGATCCATCAAACCGTGAAGTAGTGCAGCCAGGTTAGGCTTAAGCCATGGCCGCAGGGAGCCACATATCTCGTGTAGCGGCTTCCTAAATCTATGAATTCGCCCAGTACTTAATTTCGTTTCTCCTTAACTTTGGCTGCGAAACCGATGAGCCGGATATAGAGACTCAGACCCAAGCTCTACATGCAGTCCTTCGCTAATAATGTTAAGAAATAAGGAGAGGCGAGAGAATGGTAACCTACTTGTTAGTAGTGTCGTAGCGTAGATATAGCGTGGCAAGCGCAACAGCGAATACACACCACAGGAAGGCTTATTTCCAACATCACAACACCAGCTACAACACTAACAATAGAACAGGGGGCAGCAAAAGCTGCTTTTTAGGTATGCGATTGTACAGTATTCGCGATTACATCCCGAAAATCATCTGCTAATGCCCTGCAGTATTAGATTTTCAACACTGCATGCCGAGAACCGCGGTACAGCGGTGACCCAGATGAGCTCCAGCAAAACAATGCCAAAGTCGTACAATCATTCCGGTCCCCAAAGTACAAGTCAGTGACCTTTGCCATACGAACCAGGACTCCTCTAGATGACCCAAAGGCAATTCTACGTACTCGTGGATTTCTAGCAATACGTTCAGACGACGAAGAGGCGGTATTTGGGAATAGTGTGTTAAACGCCCAGGCCTTGATTCCTAACTCACCACCCCGCGTCGCCGATGCAAGTTCGTAACGAAAACCCAGGGTTACTTTGTCATGGGTCCACGTCTGTCGTGCGCACCGAGCCAGACAATGTCACACCGCCCTAGAGCAGACCCCAGTGCGTCCCGCAAACCTAGGATGATTCGATCTTCAGGCCTTCCTGTGTGCACTATACCGATGACGGAGCAGCTAGTGTCAGCGTTCCTTGAGCGATGTTCATCTCCGCATTGCGATCGACGGCGAGGCTACGGCAAGGCTGGTCGGCAATATTAACTTTCAGCCTATTTTAGTTAGCCGCACCTGATTTGGACAACAAGGGAGAGCCAGGGCCCAATGCGATCTTCATCGCGTCAATAATCCAGAACCGGTGTGTCTGAAGGTGCATGCAACCCTGTTGCACTTAACACCAACAGCCTTAGCTTCGAATATGGCATGGAAAAAACTTTCAGGTTTCCCATACCTAACCCATGTGGTCCATGCTGTACCCCACGGAAAGTGCGCCATCCCGGAATCTGGGTTATCCGCAGTACCTAAATGAGTAAGATCGTAGCCAGGGGCGGCCCTTTAGATCTTTATGTGGTGAGCTGAAGATGCAGGGTGTAAGGAGTTTGCATTATAGAATACACTTTCGGGCCTTACTTACACCCAATCGCAACCTATGGAATTCACGTTGTACCGTACAAATAGTGCGCTATCCTGGGAGCTAGATCATTTGCAGTAATTAAGATAGTAACGAGAGACTAAGAGACGGGATCAGGACAGTCGGATGAGGCGCTGGATCTTCATTTAGTCTTCATGTGGTGAGCTGAAGATGTGGAGTGTGGGGAGTCATGGCTGGAAACTCTGCCGTACACGTCTAATGTCTATGAACTCAGAGTCGAAATGAGCAGTATAAGAGTCTGGTATATCCTTCGACAGTAAGCATTACAACATCGATCGTCGTTGATCACACTCAATACCTTGATCACCACCTTGATTGTCACCTTGCGAGTCATGCTTGGCGTAAAACCACTCACTTGCGGCATCCTTGCTGCTATTGCACCCATTGCAGCGGCTGGATATGGAAACGGAAACCCTTTCTGCAAAGGTGGCATTCCTGCTATCGCAGCTGCCATCTTGACCAAATACGAACCTGCTGAGACTTTCTGTTCGAGCGCATATCCTCTACCTAAAATCACGTCCACCAAAACTGCAAGCACATCGACTGTAACGACCACTGTTGCTACTGTGAGTCCTACCACCACAGTCGCTACTGTCACAGCAACGTAAGTCCTCCATCCATTCCGAGATTCGTAATGACTAAATCGTGATAGAATCACTCCTTCCACTGAGACAGTCACTGTCACTTCGGACACAGTGACAGAATCGGTCACCACCACTGTTGATACCACCACGTTCACAGAGTGAGTTTAGTACTACTAGTGATAATCTTCGAAACTAATGGCCTCGTAGATACGTTGAAGCGACGACTACGTCCACATCTACGTTCTACACCATCTCCATCATACAGAAGCGAGATGAAGACAACCAACTAGTTGAACGTCATAACCCTCAGGCAGCATCTCACTGGGCTAGCGTTCAGAAGCAAGCCAAGTCCTTCGTCGGTAGCGTGTGCACATGTCTAGAAACGCCTGTCACCGTCTCCGCTACAACGACACCATTGACAACGACAAGCGTCACGGCCGCTTCATCCGTTGAAGTTACTGCTACAGCCACAGAGTAAGTTCAGACCATGCCTTGAGCGAACACGAAAGCCTGACTTTTGCAGCACCGTGACCGCCACCTCGACCGTGTCCGCTACCTCAACCACCACCACAACAATTTCCATCACCGCAAGCGAAAGCGTCACCAGCACCACCACGACGACAATTGTCGAGACGGTCACGGCTGTCGCACAGTACCGTGGTCCTATCTGCAACAAGCCGAACATGCAAGGAGGTATGGGAGGCTGCTCGTCGAACTGCTATTGCGATCCCCGCACGCCCGGTGGCCAGCAATACGGCGTCTGCGACACAGCTACTGGCTGCACTCAGCCTTCCTGTTCGAGCGATCTTGACTGTGGCCCTGGTCAGGCTTGTGCCAACTACAGCTGCCCCCAGGGCCCAGTGTGCGTGAATTACTCGGGTTGCTCGTCGTCATTTGTGCCGGCTCAGGCGCCGGCTAAGAGGGGATTGGTTGAAGGTGCGAAGAGGATGGCTCAAGGAGAGCGGAGAGCACAGGCTGTTGATGCGAAGAAGTTGCTGCAGTGCAGGTGGGATGGTCTTACGCCGCAGCAATGCCCAGCTTAAGATGGACCGACTCCGAATGATGCATAGTTTTCAGTGTGAAAGCAGTCACGAATCTACACCCTTATCCTCTGATTTTGACCTATGTGTGTTCATGTCATGACGACTGCTCAGACATCAATCCTTTTCGGTCATCATTTGGTTTTTCCTACTAGCTCGCCCTCGGCAACCTCGTTGCTCGGTAAAGTGACTCTCCATAGAACTGTACTCTTTCTGTTCTTGGAATAAGAGATGACGGTGTTGATAGAGAGAGTCGGAGTAGGGAAACATGCCCAGTATGGAATGACTCGAGAGGTGCAGGGGACACATGCACGTATTTGCGTAGAACTTCGAACATTTGTAGCATCTCGCACTTTTTGATAGTGTCTGTTTCAGAGAACGGAGACCCAAGCTCCACATCTTTAAGGGTGTGAAGCATTTTGAGGAATAAAGAGAAGCGAGATGATGTCGAAAAGGAAAAGTGTAAGCTGAGCTGTTTATATAGCCAGTTCTGACACTAAACGGACGTCATCAGGTAGGTAGCGTACGACATGGGATATTGAAAGAGAATCAGGCGGAAGGCCATGGCCTCCCGGAACGACAATTTTGTACTCCTGCGACCATGCTGTGAAGAACACCTATCAACTTCCTCAACAAGCTTGTTTCATCCACATGTTCGTGTCGTGCACCATCTTTGGAAGAATTCCGTTCTCGGAGGCATAGTGAGCCGGAGCCCTGTTTTGGGGTAAACCGTACAGTTGAGCAGGACGCACGTGAAATCAGTGCGATCTGGTTCAGGAAGTTTCTGGGGCGAACAACACATGTATTATGGAAGGTGTATTTCTGAATATGAGAAGAGCGTTCTTGTTGCTCATAGGCTGAACTTTCGCTGGTTTTTGGACATAACAACAGCTGACTTTTACTTTTTTTGGTATAAAAGTAGAGGGTGTTGATGGCAAGAGAATCCAAGTAGTGAAGCGGACTTTAAATAGAATGAGTCGAGAGGCGCTAGAAGCACATACAGGTATTTGGCTGAAACTTTGGACTATTTACGGCGTTTGTCAATTTTCGATGGCCAGCTTCAAAGTCGATTTTCAATTTTGCATGAGTAATGGACTGACTTCAGCGATTAGGAGGCCTACACGGCGTACATTCAGCATCTTGAGCGCATCGATCTTCGACACGTTTCTCTACTCCCGCCTGTTATTCCAAATCTGCTGAGAAACAATCCACCGTCCCGCTCCCTCCCCCAACTCATCGCCCAGCCCTATCAAATACTTCTCCAAACTTTCCAGTCCTTCCCTAATTCTCATCCCAAAATACAACTTCCTCTCATACCGATCCTGCAGCGCAACGAACCCATCAGCTAGTATTTTATGAATCCGCAAATCCCCAGTCTCGGTTGACAAGTAGTCATGATGCGCCTTCCTTAATTGAGTAATGAGGCATGAATTCTTGATCTTGATAGTGAATTGACTCAACATCTGCGATGGAAGAAGTGCGGTAGTATGCGCGGTATGGACCGAGAGGATAGCCCGACGGTATGTGAGCCAGGCGGCGACAGCGACGGGGAAGTGATCGGTATAGTTCTTGCCTACTAGCATATAGGACAGGAAGAGAGCGATCTCGGAGAAGGACTCTTCGATCGCATCGAGTGTGGTAGCTTCCGGAAAACGTGGCGACCCGAAGTTATCGAGGTATGAGAGAAACATGGCCGTTAACTCCGCACAACGAGCATGCCTCTCGATGTAGGCCTTCTGCCTGTGTTTGCTCACCGCGTCGCGCTTTTTATGGTCATTGTGCACGTCAAGCCTGAACTGACACATCTCCGATCCAAAGTATTCCAGCGCTTCAAGCGTCCTCTTTCTCTTTTCTACTCTCTCCTTCTTCTCACGGTCCGGAAGCTCGTCGAGCTCATCAAGGTATTTTATGAAGGCCTTAGGAGAGGTAGGAGGGTTGATCGCGAACAGTGACGAAACCGTTCCATTTGTCCTTGGCCCGGTTGAGCCGTTATGTCCAGATATCACAGTTCCGTCTTCGCGATCGAGCTGCCGTGTGGTAGTATCTAGTCGCGAAGAGAGAGGCATGATCCTATTTGTACTTGCACTAGAATAACTGAGCAAGGAAGCAGCGACCTCTGCAGGTAGCGGACCGTGCATGGTATCGCCTTGGTGTCTCTTGAGGTATTTGGTACGGGTATGGATTGCGGTATCAGTTAGCGTAGGCAGATTGTGCGTTGTTACGGCAGTATGAGAACTTGGACGTTGAGTGACGGCACGTGGGCGTCAGAAAAAAGTGAATGTGAATTTGAACAACCGATGAGACGAAGGTGAGAAATGAGCATTAACCTCCAACACCTTATCCAGAGCGCCCATCTGATGAGAATGAAAGGAAATATAACCCATAGTATACATGTGCGAGAAGTCAGTATCAGGACTTGTCAGCATCCAGAGCACCAGTACGTGTTTTCGTCACTTTGTCATCCACACGGGGTTTTTCGAGCTCCTTCCTAGCAGGAGTGGCTGCTGTGTCCAGCTTTGCGGCCTCAGTCGTGACTGCCGATTGGCCTACAGGAGCAACGCTCTTCTCATGCCCAACCACAACCCCATCATTCTTTGTGTCACCATCGCCAGCCCCTTCTCTCGCCTTCATCAGCCTCCACAGGACATGATCAGCAGCCCTCAGTATCCTACTCCCATCCTCAGCATCCCTCTTCCACCTCTCTCTCATCTCCTTTGGGTATCTCTCGTCTCTGCATCCCACCTCGAACCTCTTGACCTCAGCCGCAATCTGCCAATGTAACTTTTCAATCTCGCCCATCGAGTACGTCGGTTTGTGCGTTGCGAAGGAAGTCAAGGCTTGAGGGGCGGGTAGCCAGTCGGCGAGGGCATCTGTTCGAGTTGTCATCGTGCTGGTGGAGACGGAGGGAGTGGCAGAGGTAGCGGTCGTGGCTATTTTCCAAACAAGCTTGTGCTTGAGCGACATGCGCCAATGGATGAGCTTGACGTCGATGTCGTACGCTGCAGCACGAAGGCGATTGTACGCTATGTCGACGACATGGATCTCCTGAAGACGTCGGTGCCGTTCTTCTTCATCCATAGTATCCAGGTGACAGTACTCGTACTGCTGCTGTGCGTTGACAAACAGGAGGTATTCGGCTTCCTTGAGGAGTTCCTGTCTGTCCGCCTCCATGGCTTCAATTTTGGCTTTGGTGCTTTGTACGTCAATCTGACGCAAGTCTTCGGCGTACTCGATGGGTGCAATGTAGAACGGCGGCTGATCTTCGACAGGCGCTTCAGTGATTGCGGCGGGCGCTTCGCTGCCAGCAAAGGGTTCGCTGGCATGTACTTCTCGATCGAAGACTTCCTCAGGCAGCCATCTTGTGTACCAGAAGCCGTTGTGTCGTACATACTGCTGCATGATAGGATCGAGACTAGCCATCATCTCTGCGTTCCAGAAGATGGCCCAGAACTCAAGTGATCTTCGCTTGAGTTGCCGACCAAGGTGTTTATAAGCCTCCTGCCTCTCTCCAGTGTACTGGAAGTATGCATGCGCTCCCAGCACGCCAGCACAAGCACCGGTATTCATCATGCCCAAACATCGTGTCCATCGTGGTATAGCAGGCCGGCGCATAATCAGCGACGGCACCGAGGCAGCCAGCCCCAATGCCGCGCCTGCCAAAGCGCCATCATCAACAGTGTATGACTTTGTCCGCTCATAGAGCTTCCAGTTGCTGATTTCTGGCACCTTTTGCGACACCACCACCTTGGCGAAAGCCGAGTAGTAATACCAGTTGAGCGCCGCTCCTGCCACACCTGTCCAAACCCCCAGTCTGGCCGAAGCCCGTGTGAAGACAGCCGCCCTAGACAGCGGCTGCGCAGGAGTTACTCTCTGACTATATCTCGATGCGAAGGACGTATAGGCGGCGGCAACAACGGTCGAGGAAAGCACGGAATACTGGAGGGTCGCATTGGCACCGATGGGATCCGGTCGTTTCGGGACAAGTCGATGTTGGCCTTCACCTGCACGCACCGTCTGATCAGCAACCTCTCCGACTTCGTGTATTCTGCAATGGCATACCAGGCGGCGCAAAGAGTCTCAGCACCATGGCGCCGAAACTACTTGTGCGGTGCGATGCAAGCAACCGGCCATCGGGTCATATGCGAGAAGAGCAATGCCATCTAGGGGCCGTCGGCGCCTAAGGTTTGTATGCGAACGATCTTCAGACGCCGTCGCGAAGTGGTGTGCAGCTACAGCGAGCGCGTGAACTACCCACGAGGCTATTCATGGCAGTAGGGGTGCGTGGGCAGTGACGGTGAGTGGACGTGGCTGGGGGTAGTCATGAGACATGAGGCAGACGGATGTCTTAGACTGGCAGCCACAGCGGGCGGCCGCCGGGAAGACGCGTCGCAGGGGGGCATATCTCATCCTTGCCATGTTCGCATGAAGGACGGAAAGAGGGCTGCAAGGACGCGAGACGCGTAGAAATGGTGTCGTCGGTATGCTGCGCAGGATTGGTGGGTGGGTGTCGCCATGATGCGCATCGTCCGGGGTGTGTACTGCGCACGTGAAGACGTGTGGTCAGACGACGATATCGGTCTGGAACCCCAACAAGATTTCCGCCCCATATCGACGCGACTCACAGACTGTTGATTGGGTCCTTGGCTGGCTATCAGATCGAGTCTCAACATCTGCCGCAGCAGACGACGACACACCTCCACAGGCTAGGCACAAACATGGAATGGTCGATGCAAGCTTCATTCTACAACTCGCTCGCTGAAGGCTGCGCCATACAAGCCATTGCCGTCACCATGCTACCCTCCAACCCACAATCATTACCAGCCACACTCTTCATCCATTACAACGAAGTAGTAGTACCAATTTAGTAACACAAGCTATCGGAAACCGCACCCGCTTTTCGTATTGCAGATAAGCAAAGAAACAAAGTGGTAATGCCCAAACGCCGTCGCTAAATGGTGAAAAGCAAGCAAGAACTTACGCAAGGGCCCAACCCACGCTAAGCTACCATCGTAGGCAGCTGCATTAGTACAGGTACAAGTAAAACGAGATAAACGAGAGACCCAAACTTGTAAAGAGAAAAAGAAAGCAAAGAAACTAAAGACAGATCGAAGAAAGCAAACGACATCGTGCTCAGGCCGCCGGTTCACCCGGCCCTAGTATCCCGCCTCTGCATAACAATCTTCGAGTCTTCGCTGCGTAGGAACTCGAAAACGCCAAGCTCGAGCCTAGCCAGTCCGTCCTTGAACAGGTATTCCGAGCCCTCGGTGTTCGTCATGACTCTAAATGCCATGCAAAGCAGATCCTCGGGACTCAGTCCGTCAATGGAACTCATGTTCTTCCACTTCAGTCGCATAGCCCGGAGATCGTTCATGGCGAGCAAACGATCTACCAGCCCTACGTGCGAGACACCAGGATTCGCCTGCATAGAATGACGCAATGAGGCGATGGCCTGACGTTCGTGCAGCCAAGCCGTCAGGATCTTGGAGACGAGGTCGAAGTGTTGAGGAAGCTCGGCGCGGAAGAGGCTCTCACCGTGGAACCAGAGCGTGTGCATGCGCACAAGCAGGGCGGGCTCATCTGGTGGCATCGTGGTGCGTGGGTAGAAGAATGTGAAGAGGCCAGCTGTTACTTCGCATTGGAGGAGCCGGAGGTCGGCTGTGGATGTGGATACTGAGCCCCTAGGGAAGGTCTGTGGTGGCTGGACGGCATGAGCCATTTCTGGTGGTGGTTGCGGTTGTTGACTTTTTAGTACAGGCTGATGAGATTGATGAGGTGACGCATGTTGTGGTGCAGCAGGTTGACTAGGATTCGATGGCAGTCGCTGCCTACTCGATGGTGCTGGAGGTGCTTCTTGTGTCGGTACGAGCTGTATGCCGTACGCTGGAGCGCTTTGTATCGCGGGTGCAGATGTGACCTGCTTATTAGGTGCCGTCGCCGGCTGATTAGGTGCGGCCTGCGCAAGTGGTGTACTAGATCTACTGCGGGGATGAGGTGCAAGAGAACGGCCGAAAGGATGGCTTGGGGTATTAGCCCGACTTGGTGGTCGAGGTAGAGGCTGATGTTGAGCCTGAATATGCGGATGAGAAGGGAGATGCGCATGCTGAGAATGATGCGGTTGAGGTGGTTGCCCATGTGGCGACGCGTGATGCTGATGTGGAGTATGAGACGGTGTCTGTTGTGATCCTTGTGGCTGTGCTTGCGGTGGCTGCTGTTGCGGTTGCGGCGGTTGCGATTGCTGTTGTGGTTGTGGAGCAATATGCGCATGTTGAACAGGTTGAACGGCAGGAGACTCCTTCTTCATATGTGCGCCCGCTCCATTAGCTGCTGAAGATGTGCTGACTGCTGAGAATCCTTGATTTGGAGCCGGTGTAGGAGTAGCTGGCGGTGCAGAGCGAGGTGTGTCTGTAGCAGATCGAGCCATTGCCGTACTATGTGAGGATGGCTCATATGGGCTTGTATAGCTGTTGCTGTGACGATGCCCAATTGGATGAGGAGCTCGATGCACTTCCCTCGAAGGTTCTCTTGTTTGTTCCCGTACTGGTTCTCGGGGTGGCTCACTCGCAGAAGGCGTGTTGTTGACAGCAGTGAAACTTCCAGTATTGACTGCGGTGAAACCTCCAGGTGCTGAACTCGTGGAATTCTGCGTGACAGCAGAAGGCCTTGACACGCCATTCAGGTCGTTGTTTGACAGGGGGCTCAGCTGTAATCGAGCGGGCTCGGATGCGGTTCCTGGCGCCGGTGAGAATCGATGGAGAAGGCTATGTGTCGGCATTGGAGGAATGTTCTCTGTGCTGCCTGGACCTGCAGGGTAGAGTGACTTCAGTGACTTTCTCGGACTGCCTTTCCGACTCACAGGCATCGTGCTGTAAGGCCGCTTCACAGGGGAGGCTTCAAGTTCGTCATCGTCAGACATGGTTAGGTGAGCATTGCTCTTGCGCTTCTTCAGATTGATGGGTTTAACTTCAAATTCGGTGGTGGCAACAGTTTCCGGATCTGGTGGAGTGAGTGACTGTGGCGTTCCATGCGGCGACTACCATTGTTAGCCAGACGACGGCATCAAGGTAGTATCATCACTTACTAGACCCTCGCCATCGATGTCAGCGAGCTGGTCATACTCGTTCGCACCCGACGGCCTCTTCAGCTTCATGTTGCGGATATAGTAGCACGCTTTGATGATGATCCACCGATGCAAATGGATCTTGAGACTGAATCGGGTTTAGCGCACATCCTGACATTTGACACCTGATATGCTTATCAACACAACTTACATATCCTTATGCTCAGGTTCTTCGTAAAACAGGTCTTTGTTGTACGTCTTCTTGGTCGGGTCTGGTGTAAGTAAACAGCTCCGGTCTGCATCCCTGCCCCAAATAGCGGGTCCGTAACTCGCTAGCAGCTCTTCAAGCTCCTGGTTCAGGGAACTCGGATCCGCTGCAAAATCCAGCAATGCATCTCTTTCTTTTGGTAATTCCTTTGATAGTTTCGTCACCTCACTCGACAACTTGCGGTAGTCTGGGTTGTCGAACTTCGGAATGCCGCGGTTGGTGGTGGAGGAAGACGCGGATAGGCCCAGACCCAAGCATTCCGTCACTTCGCGTATAGTCGGATTATGCGAGCTGAAGACGGAGATCCATCGAGCGCGATCCCATCGTCGCACGCCGTGCTCAAGATCCAGGGCCAAGTTATCTTTTGAGCTCATGGCGCCACATGGGTGACGGCGGGTACGTCAACAGTGAAATAGGAAGCAGGAAAACGATGATGGAAAAGTAAGCGGATGGGGATGACAATCAATGGCGCGTGCGCCAAAATGTGATGGATCCGCTTGAGTTCCAAGGTTGGGGTGATTGATGGTAGCTCGCTCGGCAAAGGTAAAAGGAGTACGTTCCACTAAGCCGCCTTGGAACAAAGTTTTCTTATTGCCAGCTGCTGCTACCCCAAAAAAACTTTGTCCAGTCTCAGATGCCGATCGTGCTACCCGTCTAGACAAAGAACCAAAGCCCCTGTACACACAGGAAGAACAAATTGCGATGCAACTGTACACTTGAGTAGGGACGGAAGAGTTTGTTGTGGGGGCGTTGGGCGGCGAAAGATTGATTGGTGATGATGATTGATGCCGGTGACGTGTAGAAGGCGAACGACGGTACGCTGCGTCGAAAAGATACCCAGAAAAGAGGTGCCTAGACGCGAGACAGTGATCCGGCAGGGGCCGCAACAAAACATGTGCAGAGGTAATACGCGTCTGCACTCCGAAGTTAATGACTCGCACGCCAATAAATCCCCATCGAGTGTAATCATAGTACCGCCCCATCCTCATTCGTTCCTACGGAGCGGGCCCCTTCACCCTTGCTTGTTCAATGTACGACGCTTGCACTATGAGCGAAGTGGTCATTTGCTGGATTATGCTAATCATATCTATCGCAGGGATGCTCATCATACACGAGGTACAAATGAATTTGTCGCTAGCAGCACAACTCTTACTCGCATAGGCCAAAACATCCGATCCTCTTACTCAAAGCCACCATTAGCCGCCACATGCCATGAACGAATAAGCGGCACTATCACTGTTTCGTATAGCCGGGGATACATGTCGTTGGTATCGTGGTCAGGAGTTACAACTACATATGCATCTATGACGCGCTTGTCCTGGCCGTATCTACACCTAGGTACACTTGTACTACCCAACTTCGATTACTCAACTGTGCACTTCATCATTTTGTTAACCGCGGTCGCATGGTATTGATGGGAAGTAAAGCGAAATGTCGTGTCAACGCCACAGCTCGAAAGAAAAAAATGTGAAGCGATGTGACGAATGTGCGGCGCGGTCACTCCACTCTAAAATAGGAACGTGGCATTAGGGAGATTTACGGCGCAGTGCGGAGCCTGAAGACACGCCCCCTTGGCTGCAGGGAGTAGACTAAGCGAAAGGGTATACTGCGAAGTGCTGCCGAGCCGTGTATTCGTTCGGAAACTAGTTGCCGAACTATTGAACGCTGCTCACACGCGCTCCCTATCCGATCTCGACAAGGCGATCGCAATAAAGCAATTACTTTGTCGCATAGTTTGCCTACGGCATGGTGATGGGGTGAGGCACAGCTGAGCTAGTGTAATCCTACACGGTCCTGTAACATGATCAAGTAGCTGAAACCACTTTACGGCTGACCTACCCGAATAGCTTATTTTCCCGAATTGGACGCCTAGTGGGGCCTCAACCCTGCTGATCGATCGGCACCCTGAAAACCTGAACGCCTGTAAGATCCACGTACACAGATTTTACGACTACACCAGCGCAGCACATGATACGTGCGTATCAGGATAGTAGTAATCGCGACTAGCGTCGTGACTCGCCAATATACCAGAGCATACCCTTTCCCTCTTCTTCTTCTTCCTTGCGGAAGCTTTCCAAGTGGTCGTGCAGCCATCCCATGACTTGCGTAAAGTCTACAGGCTTCCACTGCATCTCAACAGCATACTTTTCCCCAGCTAATACCACGAGAGCTTGTCGCAGCAGCTCATCGCGGTCCACAGCGACATTGGGACCGAGACCGAAGCCTTGGCCAATGTCTTCAAAGTTGGCGATGATCGTTTGTGTGCAGCCCATAAGTGTGCGGTGCTGTTGAATGCGGCGCTCAATTTCGGCGGCAGTGTGGCCTTCGGCTGACCAACCTGTGTTGAAGTAAGCATGTGAAAGCTAGATAGATCTCCAGCTGGGTGAGACGTACGGTCGTTTGCTCGTAACAGAGCTGACAGGTGTCGCTTCAGTTCCACCCATGTTAGAAATGCTCGTTCCCTGGCGATGAAGACGGGGATATTCTCAATTATCCTGTTGTAGTCGGCTCGGACGCCTTCTCGCCACGTTCTTTCAAGTTGGTTAAGGAGAGCTTCCTCGTCCATTGAGACGCCACGCTCTTCTCCGTAGATGTACTGGCGTAGTGCTCGTAAACCATCGTAGTCCAACCCACGATACGATATACTGTTGTTTGGCTGTGGTAGCTCTTCTGGTATACCGTCATCCGACCGAAAGCTTGCGACCAGCGCGGCCATTTGAACACTAATTTGCCGATCAGCAGCAGCTTGGGTCGCGTTTGCGATCTGCTGTTGTACTGCTGCTTTGGTTTCGGTAGAATGTGCGGCTTGGGTGGGAGCAGGTCCTGACAACGTGCTGAGGTACCGAGATTTGGATGCCTCAGCAGCGAGCTTATTCCAGACACCCTCGACGATACTATTGGGCTGTTGCGAAACCTGCTGTTCGTGTGTTTTCGTGGACGTGAACGCTGCGTTACCATTCGTCGCATGTGCACTGCCGTTGAGAGCTGTGAACCCGACTCCTTCTCGAGGTCCTATAGTAGGACTCTCCCCAGATTCTGGAGGCGTAAGCATAGCGCTCGATGACATGGGGCTTCCACGTGAGGCTGTGTCGCCATCATGCAACACTGAATTTGGTGCAAGCGCAACAAAGGATGCTGGCGTACCACCCTCTTGCTGACCAGAAAACTCGGCGTCAGCTCGCGCTTGTCGGTTCTCTGCCTTCTTTCTTCTTTCGCGGTCCAGACGTTCGCGCGCAAGAATGACGTTGCATGCTTTCAGTCCGATCCACCAATGGAGGAGTTTGTGAATTCTAGGTGGCGATTAGCAATTGTTCGATTCTATACCAAGGACTCCCAGATAAGGGATTTGCCCTGAGGTTCACTTACAGTGCCCTGTCCTCCTCATTTTCAATGTAGAGATCCCTAGGGTAGAGACCTTCTTCAACCCCGGGTTCGTTCGCTGTGATTAGATGCTCACGGTCCCCCACTCTTCCCCAGACCTTAGCGCCATGTTTCTCAAGTAAGCCATCAACCTCCTCTTTCAGACTTCCCTCGTCGCTTAGAAACTTCATAAGCTCATCCGGCTCTTTTGGTAGTGTGGAGACGACATCACCCATATCTGCGACCAGTTCGCGCACCAGGGCGGATTCAAAGTTTGTCTTGCCGCGTTTGTTGGACGACCATTTTGCGCGTAGTCCAAGACGCTCGATCAGCTCATGCATGCGCACTTTTGATCGATTCTTCATGATGTCCAGCCAGTCCTTGGACGTTGCGTACGTGATAGCCGAGCCGTCCATGATGCCTGGGCTTGATGCATGAATCGCAATATTTCTCCAGGTAAGCTGAGTGTAAGCTATCAATGCTTCTGTAAGTAGTCGTATGAGCACCGAGCGCCGTGGCTTCGCAACTTTGCCGGGGAGCGTGATGTGTAGTGCTGATTTTCTCGGGTATGATTACATACAGATGCTCTCAAGACTGCGGGAGGACGATGGTGCAATCTTGTAAACGGGCCGCTCAGAGCATGTACGAGTCAGCACTATGGTGCGCAAGGGAAACGAACGGCATTCCGAAGATGAAATGAGAATATGATAGATGATAAGAGTACAGATGAAGAAACCATAGCGTATGAAAGCTTCGTTTACAGGGTTAGCGGCGCCCACCTGGGGATGGCAGGCGGAACCACAGGGCAATTCTTGCCGATTGGCTGAAATGTGGCGTTAGTACGACGATCGCCCCCAAACACTTACACAATGTATTGTGCACATTGCTGTTCTTCTGCGACTTGCATGTGTGTTCCAGTCCGCTACTAATGGTCGTCGTTGATGAGTCTGAGCTCTATGGATACTTTGCGCTTTTCTCATAGCCTGTTTCAGCACCAGGCATCCGCTGAGCGATAGCGGGCTTTTTCGGTTTCATGCATGCGACGCGGAATCATTGCGTTGTGGCGCCTTCCGCGGCGTAAATATATGTCCAAACAAGAGCATTTCAAGATTATGCGGCGAGACCCGTGCAAGGGTAGAACTGAATTCTCTAGACGTACGTACATTCAACTGCATCTACACAGCACTACCAGGGCACACCAACATTGTGCAAATACGTTTCCGAAAATCAAAACTTCTGACCAATCCGCTGAACAAGGACCATAGGCATTGATCCGGGGTATATGTAAATCAACGCAAAACGCGGTCAACACACTTTGCAGTGGTATCCAGATGTTGGTCAAAGAGATAGAAAGCACGCTTGTAGGTAGATCAGAATCCGCAAGGGTAGGAAGAGGCGCTGTCGCTACCTATCGTTTGATGTCGCTCACACAGGATCCGGTCTGCTCAACGACTTGAGTTCGATATCGATCTTAGCATTAGGATTCTCTTGCCAGATAGAAGCCTGGGCAAGTGTAAGTTGCAGACGATCGAACGCAATTTCAGTGCCTTTACGCAGCACGACTGCTTTGTTGGGACCGTTACCGAGACGGTACGTCAGTCGCCAGACGTTCGTTCTGCTAATCATGCTGGCAGCAGATGGGATAGCCTCAGCATCCTCCTCCAAAAGACCAAGCAAGCCTCCGAATGACTTGCACTCGACCAATGCATGCACGAATTCATATTCAATATCATCGTCAACTACTGTCCAGATGAAGCAGATTCGCGCAGCTTGCTCATCGGTCAGGTCAAGAGATATGACGTTCGAGAAACTTGCAACACTGGTAGCTTGAGATGGAGGCCTCGATGGCGCTGATGTTATCGAACCATGATGCTTTACATCATCGGCAGGAGTTGGGGTCCTTTGGGGTGTTTGTTGTGGCCGTGGTGGCGACTGCGGTGGCAACGGCTGCCCAAGATCAACACTGCAGCCTGTAGGACTTTCTCGTAGCGTTTGTTGTGGCCGCGGTGGCGACTGCGGTGGCGGCGACTGCGTAAGGTCAACACTGCAGCCTGTAGGACTTTGTCGTACAGGCTCGAACTTGTTCGCGGCACTGTCGCTGATCTTGCGCCGTTTCCGCGTCGCAGGCTCATCGATTCGAGCATCGCTGTCATCAACGTGCGCTTTACTCATGACAGGCGGTGCCAGAGGTGTGGCATCCACATCAGAAAGTTTCGATAGTCTGGGAGTAGAGGAAAGACGGTTGTCACGTGTCGGCAATTGTTTCAACTTCAAAACAATATCGGCACGCTCTTTCGGTGGTAATACTGTGAGAACGGTCTCCAGTGTTCCAGCATCGCTGTCAGGGTTACGGAGAGTGAGCATCATGTAACTGTTAACAAATTTGTCTCCTGTGCCGCCATTGAAAAGCTGAATATGTTCAAACAGTATGTCAGTATATGTTTCGAATAAGCCTCATAGGCATGAGACTCACTTCGTAAGGACGAAAGGATTGGAGACCATGTAAAGACCTGTCACTCTTTTGAGGAATCATGATTGCGAAAACTCCAGCATCGTCGTCGCCATCGAGAGGCATGATCACGACCTTCTGTATCTCGTCAATACGATGGCCTGATGACTCTGTAGCCGATCTGAGTACAACTTACGCCGTTCTTTCCGAACTGCACCTCGCTTAGAGCAATAAGAGCCGACTCGTCCCTGGCACAGCCTCGGCAGATAGCGTTGCGATTCTCTCTGGGAGAACCCTGAACTATTGGAGGATATGGTGGGCGGAACTTGCTGTAGTTGACCTTGAGATTGTGGAAAGAGGGCAGCCCGCGAAATGACTCGTTTTGCCTTTCGGGAGCCAAGTAGCCAATCCAGACACCTCGTTGAAAGAGCTGATTTGCGGAGTAGAAATGGCCTTTCAGGTGAGGTTGCGAGCTAAAGCAATCGTACGCGGTGGTAGGACAGGCGTTTCGAGCCTGTTCATGGAGGGACGTGTCGAGTGCACGCAGCCCAGGTGACATCATGGGTGAAGTTAGTTCGCTCGACACGTTACTACGTAACGGCAGCACGTCGTTCTCCGGTGTTTGCGCTTTTGAGGCGTCACTTGTCACATTTGAAGGAATTTGTGACTGGATCTCGCGATCAGGCTGAGGGCTGGACTCGTCGAGGCTGGAGTCGCGTGCGCGCTTAGAGCTTGCTGATGGATTTTTCAACACGGGCGTGCGCACACTCTTTCGAGCTCTTTGAGGCTGCACCGGCATAAGAGGCTTGCGAGGTGACATCCCGACGGTTACACGACAGCGACCGTTTGGAGTAGGCGGTGATGGTTCGCTGTTGTTCTGACGTATGAGGGAAGGAGCCTTGTCGGCAGCCGGCTAGCAGGCCACGCCTGCATGGCAGGCAGGGGTCCGATTGGCCACCTCACCTAGTGACATCTCGCATCCCGAACAACGCGAGATCTTTCTTCAATCAATCTCACATATACTCCACTCTACGTACGACAAGCGAATACGTTAAGCGAAGAATCCTTCACTGCACAAGAAGAACAGAACAGCTTCTGATGCAAGATCAAGACATTTGAGAACGAACAACAGAAAAAGTCTGCAGCCGTTCGTGGCAAGCTTCCGCGGACAACCGCAACACTCCTATGCCTCTGCGATAGCATTGTTTATGTGCAAAAATGGGAAAGTAAAGAGTTGACTGTGTTGAACTTAACAAATACATCCAATCTCTTGGATTGGAGACTTATGGGATAGATCCCAACCACATAGTAAGAAACCCAATGTCCAACTACAGGCCAGTCTCTGCGCTATATACAGTTGGACTGCAGGCTCTTTTCGGTTTATTGATGCGCCATCAGATACAGGATAATCTAATTGATCCATCAGATCCGAATTCGCTTAGCAAAAAGATAGACGAGTTTCTAAAGAAGGATGGTCCCATGATATGGCCTGAACCAGGTCCTGGAGAAAAACGTCATCTGCTCAAACCGCAGGACGGTATCAGCTATATCCGCGATCTGATCTATCCGCGAGACAGCGCCATGTGGGTTTCAGCTATCGATGGCTAGGATACGCGCTAATGAGGTCAGCCTGAAAGAGCGCCTGCTAGCCATCTTGCTTTGCCAGGGAGCCAGCTCTGAGACAGACTCGGAGTTTTATACCATGAAAACCCACAATGATTCGGAAACGTTGGAGTTTGATCCTGACGACACAATCGCTGTGGACATATTAGAAACGAAGAGAGGCGACATTGACAACATAAACGACGAGACTGCTAGTCAACGCACAGAATCTGTAGAGGGAGAAATGGATAACAGTTTCAATGAATCTGAAGACTCAGTATTGGACAGCAGGGCAACATCTCAAGCTAGCAATCGGAACATGAATCCATCCGATCCTGCTTTCAAGGTTGAGCTGCGACTTTATTGCAGCAAAAAGCGACGCGCTCGAGTCGGCCCAGGCACAACTTGGTCCTACACAACCCTGATGCTCACGGAAAGAACCAAGTCATGTGAGGACTTCTTTGTCCTCATATGCGATAAGATCGAGGCTGACTGCAGCTTTGTCATCTTCCACTTGCCAGAAGATATGTCTATGGAGGGTTCGGTGCGCATCGATCGAGAATCTAGAGAATCTGAGGTATTATTTCGCCGCATCCGATCTATCCTGCAAAGAGCAAGGAGATTTCCATGCGTTCGTTCGCGTCGTTCAGTCGAAGTAGAAGTCGGCTTAGGAACTGATTAGCAACCTAGAAAATATCACGTATTTCGCATCTCTCTTCGCATCTCCGTTTGTCACGCACACCGCTTCGCAAATGTAGTTGGTCTTTGGTATATCCCCTTCTCAATCTTGATGCAACATCGCTCCAAAATCGAGTAGACACTTAAGCCCCTCGACTCCGACACAGCAGTTTGACTAGACCATATAGCGAGACAGGATTGTGTGTTTTTGAATTGTGTATTGTTTGGATTTTCTATGACATGACATCATTATCTGTCGTATAATTATTGTATCCATTCCTTTTTCTTCAGTTGTCCATGCATGTTTCAGTCGTTACTACCGATCTCGATCTGCCCTTCTCTCATCAACAAGCACACTCCAGTTCTTTTGCACACTAATTCCTCCAGTCGCAGTCCTCTGTGCACTGTCATCGCTTGCCCTCCTGCCCATCTCAATCTCGACGTTATGCTTCCCCTGCCTATCGTCATCAACAAACTTGAACTCCTCCTCATCCTCCACTCGACTAATGCCCGCTAGCGTCGAGAACAAGCCACCAGTAGCGCCCTTCTTCCTCGGCCTCCCAGAGTTCTTCAGGTTTGACCCAAAGTCATCCATAGCACCATGTGAGCTCGGTCCAGGCGACCGCATATCCGAGGGGCGGGAAGAAGCAAAAGAAAAGAGTCTATCAAGGCCGATCCATCTGAAAGCGGGTTTCAGACTAGGCAAACAAGCACATGTGAGACCGACGTTGACTTCAACAATAGACCATACGATGATCTCGCGGAAGTTGTAGGTAGGGTCGACTTGACCCGAGATGGGGATCTGCAGGAAGATGATCAATCGTACAAGCGAGACGATGGCGATGAAGGTACCAAGGGCGAACATGCCCGCTAGAATGATGCGTTGAGCAATTGGTGCGTGCAGGCGCCAGACGTGCGGAAGAGGCATGCCGACGATGATGAAGTCGAGGATCACATTAGGCACCGAACCGCCGAGGTAAATGTCGCGGGTCTGAATGCATTTTCCGTTTGTGATGGTGATGTCCCAGGCGGCCTGTATGGGGTAGCAGTTGAAGATTACGCAGCCTAGCTGTGAGGGGTGTTAGCTGTATGCGATCGGATTCTGAGGCATAGGTTCGGCTTACAATAGCGATACACCATGCGATTGACGCTGCAGTAACAACATATATGAACTTTCGGGATTTGATCTCAAACAGCCGCCAGTAGAAGGCTAGGACGGAAAGCTTGATAGTTGTGATGCTCAACGTATAAAGGATTTGGCCGATGTAGATGTTCCGTAGGAAGGCGATGGCTTGTAGCGGGTTGGTGATTTCATACATGTGTAGTCCCAATGACTCTCGCATGCCTGATAAGCACTTGATGTTAGCCTACGGCTCATATGGTGAGATGGAGCAGGACGTACCAATGATGCACACGTAGAAGAAACCGTTAGCCACGGCCAGTGCTATCATAGACATATAGTCGTCCATCTGAACATTACGCCATCCCCCGTGTCGCTTCCGGCAGTAGACCTTAAGGGGGACGAGTAGCATGATTAGGATGTACGTTGAGATAGCCACGCCATCCAGACGACGGCGGTAGGACTGGCTGGAGAGCTTGTCAGTGACATGTTACCCAATGTACTGTTTTCTGGTCGTGATATGACATGGGTTGAGTGAACCGCGGAGACTGAGTGTAGAAAGGGTCCAATAGCGATGATGGGCGAGTAGACAGGATTGAATGACTTACAGGCTCTCCTGCGGATTTATAATCGGTGCCATGATGCACAAGTTACACAACTCTCATTTATCCTTCGCAAGTACACCAGGTATCACGAACAAAGAGGAGCAAGAGTCGCCGTGGCGTTGACAATGATGCACGAACACGAAATACAAAGCAGTGCGGCACACCAAGTCATGATATACAATGTCAAGACGAGGCCTCCAGGCGAAGAAGAAAACCTTTCTCACATCCCAGCGCCCTGACCAAACTCCCCAGATGTTCCCAATCCACTTACCACTACCGCCGCACCCTGTCGCGGGATCCCCTTTAGGCCCCTTCAAACCCATGACGTTCCTTGCTTCTTTAGCTAATGATCGGCCAATGCGAACGCAGAATTAGGCGATGATAAGTCATAATCCGAACATCTGCGAGGGTCTTCTGGAGCTGTTGGGCAAAGTATAAAGCACGGAAGCACTAAAGCGATGGCACTGACACACGGGGAGGACTTGGGAAGTGGAGCGTCGTTACAGGTCAGGGGGACCTTGTCGGCCTGACTGCCGCTCGCTTTCACGTGTGAGTGGTTCGGGTGGGGTCGTTACGGGACTCACCCTCTAACGGAGACGGCGTGCGTGCTATGCGGGAACGAAATAGGAACCCGCTCCACAGTGGTCATCCATGGATATTTCAACATCACCCACACTCTCGTTGCGAAGCGAGTCTGGAATACTGCAGCAGTGTAATTAGTCTACCTTCAGACCGAGAAAAGAAATAAGAGCATATTTGTTTATGTGTTTCCGCGGGGTTTGATCAGTGTCTGCCGAGGTGTAGCCAAACGCGAGAGCCGCGTACCCAAGATTCGCACAACAACCTACCGTCGATCAAAATGCTCCGGGGTAACCGTTGCTGGATAATTGCCGAGCTGTTCATTGCCGGAAATGGTCGGCCTAGGCAAAATTATCCCATCCTTAGTGTTGAGCATGTGCCTGGCCGTCATTTTGGGCATAACTGGTTTAGCTCCCTTGCCCATTGCGAGTCAGAACGAGGCTACGGCTATGAAAAACGAGCCAATTGATGGCAAACATAACCGACAACGAATTTCCAGGCGTGATGCGGCTCGCATTCACGCGCAGTATCGTCGTCCACCTTGTGGCGTTTGTTCCTGCGGTATAGCGATTATGTTATGCATTGCCGAATCCTTTGAAAACGAATCGCCGGTCGGTGATGCGAGACTGTGCCGCAACGTGGGCGCAAGCATTGTGGTGGGTGGCGTACGGACCCGACGTTCTTGTTGGTTGAAATCGCCGTTTGCCAATCAAACAAGCGTGTATGCACAGTCAGGATCGCGGAAGCGGAAGCCGCCTCACAAGCTGCCAGTAGCCGGTGGATACAGAAGCCACACACGCCGTCGTCTTGGTAGTTTTAGCACTGTAGCGAGGAGTCGAGAAACTGGAAGACCCTGTCAAAAACGTGAGGACTCCTTCCCCCCATTAGGTTATTGTCTCAAACCTGACCAGGGCAAATGCAGTGCGACTCCCATGGGGTTAGCGGAGGACCCACCAGTCCGGGCAACCGGCAAATATGCCCTTGACCAATACGAGAATCCAGGAACCACATCTACGCTTACATCAAACAAAACGAAAACTCGATGATGCGGCGCGATAGTGGCGCTGGGTAAGTAAGCAGCCGCAGTTGTCTGCTAGTCGAAGTGTAAGTCGAGGATAGCTGGTGCGGGAGGTGCGGCTCGCCATCGGCCCTTCGACTAGCCCAACCGAGAAGCAAAACTCCACCTTTCAGTGTCGTTTTTGACAGGCGGGGCGGCCTCTAGTCAGACCTAAGGGCTTACTAACATATCAGGAGACCAATCAGCGGGCACTAATATGGGTACTGTAAGTGCCAGAGACCGCGGAGCACGACGTAAGACCATGCCTGTGATTGAAAAGTCGGCGATCACAGAGAGGCGTACAAGAGACCCCACGCCCTGCATCTCGCTTTCGGATTCTTGTTAACCTTTCCTTCTTTTCTGATTGAGCCAAAGGTGCATGATGGCATTCCACGATACCGAAGGCGATGGGTCCTCCTATCCAGGCCTTCTCCTTTTGTCATCTCTCTTAATATCGACGTACGTAATTGTCATTGGTATCTATCGCCTCTATTTCCATCCACTCGCAGCCTTCCCTGGGCCGTTCTGGGCTCGGGTAACTGTATTCCCGTCATGGTGGCATACTCGCACTGGCGACCGACACATTTGGTTGTATCAATTGCAGGAGAAGTACGGTATGGCGACGTAATCTAACCTACCAGACCCAGCTAGTTGCTGATGAGCAACAGGTCCTGAATTTCGTTATCGTCCGGATGGTGTTGTACTCAACACTCCTGCTGCTTTCAAGAAGATCTTCGGACCGAAAGGAAATGTCAAGAAGGCTGTCTACTACGAAGTGTGGCCACGCAATGAGCACACAATCAATACGTGGAGCAGCACCACCGTTAGTGTCCATGCACGCAAGCGTCGTGTGCTGAACTACGCGTTCTCGGAAGCAGCGTTGCGAGATGCTGAGGTCTTCCTTCACCAGAACATTGATCGATGGCTAGAGCTACTGGGCCAACAAGCGCCCAAAGATGGCGAGTGGACCACGTCAGTCAACATGTGTGACTGGATGAACTGGCTCGTGTTCGATATCCTTGGTGACTTGTGCTTCGGTAAAAATTTCAACATGAAGGAGCCAGGAAGCGACCTGCGGCATATCCCAGAGGTTATGGTCTCATTTTTGGAGCTTCTGCATCCAGTAAGCTCCCGTCTCAGATCATGCGTTGATCGACCGAGCTAATATTCGGCAGGTTGCATTCGGCCCGTTAGCCAACGCGTGGGTATGGCTCAAGCCTCGCGGTCTTAACAAGCTAATCGAACTCGCCTCACCACCAGTAGTCGTGAACTGGCAGAATTTTGTTGGGCAGTGCCTCGAAAACCGAGTCAGGGATGAACAGGAACTGGAGAAGAATCCCAAGCCCGATGGTGAGATTCGAAGGGACTTCTTCCACTGGCTGTTCAAAGCTGTCGATCCGGAGACCGGCGAGCGCGGCTACGATCAAAATGAGCTCTTCGCGGAGTGCGAGTTGCTGACCATAGCTGGTTCTGATACGACGTCCGTTGTACTCTCCGCGGCCTTCTTCTACCTCTCTCGCCGACCGGATGTACAAGCTAAGATTGCCCAAGAGGTTAAATCGATCTTCTCAAGCTACGATGAGATCACATCTGGCAGCAAGATTATGTCCTGCAAGTACCTCACAGCGTTCCTCCAGGAAGCTATGCGCATGACACCACCAGTCGCAGCCGAGCCAAGCCGTGAGGTACTCCCTGGTGGAACAACAGTCGGTGATCACTACTTTCCGGCTGGTCTCCATTTGAGCACTGGTCTTTACTGTCTCAGCTACAACTCCAACGTCTACCCGGAGCCTTTCAAATTCCGCCCTGAGCGCTGGATCGTAGACGAGACTGGAAAGGAGGGCTCCTCAGCCGAGAGCGTTAGACTGGCAGAGGATGGATTCTGTGCTTTCTCCTATGGAACCCGAGGCTGTGTCGGGAAGAACCTTGCCTGGCTCGAGATGCGTCTTGTTATTGCCAAGACACTCTGGATGTATGACATTCAGGCCGATCCAAAGAGCAGACTTGGTGGGGGCGATCGGCACGGAAAGCCTGGACGACAGACTGAGGATCAGTACCAGATTTACGATATTTTCGTGTCCGGGAGGAAGGGGCCGATGCTGCAGATGCGAAGGAGGCAGTGAAAACTAGGCTGAGTCGTATTCAACCGGAGACGCAAGTAGAACCTGCAGTACTGAGTCAGCCAATAACGCACGTTGAGGTTACCTGAGAGCATACATAACCTGCGGATGCAAGTAGGGGTCGCGACACTTTACTTGCTGGCGAACGAAATATGATGTCAGTGGTCGTTGGATTTACCCCTTCAATTTTCGCCAGGAACTAGTCTACTTTGGGTCACTCTGATTATTCACCCCACCTTCAGTCCACACCACCATTTTTCGACACCGATCTTTCGACACCGATCGCGCGCTCGAAGCGCGCTCATTTGTACGGCGTTACAAGCTTGTCAACCACTTCTCTAGCGCCTTCTCATCCACATCCCTAAGCCACTGTTCCGTCGTGCTGCGCACCTTATCTGACAGTCTTTTATATTGATCTTCGTCACTCATAAGCTTGTTGACGACGCTCGCCCAGGGTGCGATATCTTGGTTAGGAACAATGTATGCGCCTTCTTCGTCGCAATCCCCGTTCATGGTGTTGACTGGGATAACGTGGTCAAGTCCGAGCATGGACTCAGGAAGCGCGCCTGCATTAGAGGAGATGACGGGAATACCACGAGGGTGAGCTTCGACCGTCACAATTCCCCAGGCTTCAAACCAGAGGGAGGGGACGAGAAGCAGTTTGATGTTCCGCCAGAGTTCATCTGTATCTTTGCATGTGGGGCGAATGCTTCAGAACATTAGACGAGCTTATTTTCCGAAAGTGTGGCTCGCAATGATGAACTTACATGATGTTCTTCTGGGCTTGCATCTGTCGGCCACACTTGTCATCAAAGCCCCAACTCTTATATGCCCGGAACTTGTGCTGTGGGCAGGATTTGGCAAGACCAACCAAAATCCGAGCGCCCTTAACAGGGCAGGGATTGATCATACCGATGAACTTCTTGTTCCAGTTGTCGAGACGCAAAGGCAGCTCGTGATTTCGCTCTTCGAGGTAGGTCCACGGATGATGTACGAAGAAGCTGGTCTGAAGCTTCCCGTGATCGATTGCGTATCTTTTGATGGCTTCGGAAACGCTCCAGATACCATCAAGCTTTTGGAGGAGTTTAGCCTCGTGCGGCGAGCTCAACATGCCAGGCATGCCACCAGCGAAAGGCCCAAAGGGGAGTTGCTCAGCCGTATGTATGACAGCAATGCGACGGGCGTTGATTCGAGGCATCCGCAAGGCCGAGGTAGCTTGCATAGATAAGCCATCGTTGAAGATGATGTGCGTGGGCGAGAACTTGTTGATCTCCTCCTGTAAGAACGAGACAAAGTCATGTAACCGCGCTGACAATACTCCAGCCTAGTCGGCACGAGGGTTAGAACATCAAAGTCTACAAGTCTAATTTAGGCCAAAAACAATTCAGCTTACTTCAATGTAGCGTGCTGTCTCCCTAGGCATTGCTTTGTGTAGGTTTTCGGTACCGCCAAATGCCTCAACGAAAGCCTCATTCTCCAATGCCAAGTACTGCAAGCCATCTTCCATAACAAGCTCATCAACTCCAACATCAGTTCCATCTTCTCCGTATTCACACCTCAGATGCAGCTGCCTCTTATGAAGCTGCAGATCGTGCCCACCACTGTTAGCCATAGTCCGGACAACTGCATCTGCTTCGCCGCGATGCGAGTACCATAGTTGGCGGACTGAATGCCCCTGGGAGGCGAGATAACGTAACAAGCATATATTGGCCTTATATCCACCTGAAGAGGAGAATAGACCCTTCGCAGTCTGAACGAGGAAGACTCGCATCTGGGTCTGGCTCAGGCTAGGGGCGGAGGAAATTGAAGAGCTTCTCGAAGAAGCGGAAACGTTCGACTCTATGTCCGAGTGGTGCGACATCATGATTAAGTATAGAAAACTCTATAGAAACCAATATAGGTCAAGAGCAGAACAGGTTGAGTAGACAGTTGAGGGCAGAAATTTGATGCATCAAAGAAGGAGTCCATGTAAGCCATGATGGAGGCAAACAATATAGGGACATTGTATTACAAGTGATGCATGAACCAGCTCAGTCATACGTGACTCATGAATTTATGCGTGATGTGCAATTGATTCTTAAACTTATCAATCTTTGTATGGGTACGTGCCGCAGCGCTCCCCGGAGAGGTGACGATTTGGGTGAATAGTTATTGCGCAGGCCTTTTCATGCTCACTAGATAACAAGGGTGTGATAGACCGCGCGATCTGTGGCTGAATTGGTAGAGTGTCAAACGGAATAATGTTTTCTATTAATGTTGAACTAGATCAATTGACAGATATCTGGGACATAGAGGCGATTCACTAGCACCAGCACCATCATCACTATTGCTACAACTGTAGAAGTACCTAAGGGTGCTGTAACATACTGAGATAACCTTTTACTTATATTTTCTAAGCTGCACCATGCAGACGAGCTGCCGACTACCTAGGCAGGAATGTATCTTATCGCCCTAGGGGAATTTCTTGAGCGCTTTCGCCAACTAGACAGCAAAACTTCACTACATGATATCGTATCCATACTTCGAACAGATACTGAGAAACTGGAAGATTTCAAGGCTCGTCTATCAGTGTGAGAGTGACGATATGTGTTGACGTCGGTTGATGTTGGGTCAATTCAAACGTCAGGGTCCAATTGATGTCAGCAGCATGTCAACGTCCGCAACATCATGACATAAGATGGTTCCAGGCTCTCAAACTGTAAATGAGTCACAGAGCTAAAACATCTCACGATATCTGTAAGAATCAGTCGTATGCGACACCAAGACATGATGTTAGTATGACTACAGCCTGACCTATGCGTTGCGAGATTCTCAGGCTCCCAGGGTCACTTCACCATGGATACCCTGACTTGCTTTTTGAGCGCTGCGTAACTGAGTTGTCAGCTTGACAAACTCCGCATCAAATATCGTTCCAATGTAGCCTCCAGAGTTGTTAAGGTTCGACCAAATTCAAGAATGAAGACATGATGGTGGAAGCATGACGATGCGAGTCGGTCCGCAAGAGATGAACTAGTTCTGTTCATGGCATCAAGATCACGCCGAAATGAAAACATAATATCGAAAACAAAACGCCACGATGAAGACTAGTGATGGTTCTGCTGGCTATAAGTTATACGAACACCGTGATGACCATCTGACAAGGAACTCTCAAACGATATCGAACGAACATAGCAACGCTTTGAATTCAATATCAAACAACCATCTTATCCCTGGAAGAGTAGCAAAATTTCACAATGGTGGAAGTAGCAAAGTATACCTCTCACCTGCAAATCAATACCCATAAGAAGGCTGACCTTTGGTCAAAGACCAGTTTACACTACCGCGTACAAGCCCCATCCCAGTGAGAAGATGAAGGCAGCTCTCTGGACTGGGGCAAAGTCGATCGAGCTAGGCGTTGTCGCCAAACCCATGATCACTGCACCTAAGGATGCCATTGTACACATTACCCATTGCACTATATGCGGATCTGATCTGCATATGTACAACGGCGATATGAACAGTGTCATGGAGAAGGGGATGATCATGGGCCACGAGGCGATCGGCATTGTCGATGAAATTGGGCATGAAGTCAAAGACTTGAAGGTAGGAGACCGAGTCATTATTTTGCCGGTCATTGCATGTGGGGATTGCTTCTACTGCAAGCGCAAAGAGTTTTCCCTTTGCGACCGAACCAACCCATCACATGAGATGGAGCAACTGTACGGACACCGTCTCTCGGGTATCTTTGGCTATTCCAAAATCACAGGTGGATATCCTGGCAACCAGGCTGAGTACTGCCGTGTCCCTAACGCAGATCTTGTCTGCGTCAAAGCCCCCAAGGATATTCCCGCTGAGCAGAGTTGCTAACAATCAATCCAAACTGATGAGACTGACTGACTGACTGATTGCTTGGCAGTCAGTTCAGTGTCAGTTTAGAGCTCTCGTCTTATCAGTCAGTTCAGTTTAGAGCTCTTAAACT